TGGGCACAGTGGCCTCCATAATCCGTAAGTGGAAGATGTTTGGAATCACCAGGACTCTATCTAGAGCTGGCCGCCCATCGCAGCTGAGTGATCGAGGGGAGAAGGGCCTTAGTCAGGGAGGTGATCAATGACACCCTGGTCACTCTGTCCAAGCTCCAGTATTCTTCTGTGGAGAGATGAGAACCTTACAGAAAGGCAACCATCTGTGCAGCAATCCACCAATCAGGCCTGTATGGTAGAGTGGCCAGACGGAAGCCAGTCCCCGCCTGGAATTTGCCAAAAGGCATCTAAAGGACTCTCAGAGCATAAGAAACAAAATTCTCTGGTCTGATGAGACTAAAATTGAACTCTTTGGAGTGAATGCGAGGCATTACATTTGAAGAAAACCAGGCACGGCTCATCACCAGGTTAATACGATCCCTACAGTGAAGCATGGTGGTCGCAGCATCATGCTGTGGGGATGTTTTTCAGCAGCAGGAACTGGAAGCAGTCATGTACAGAGACATCCTGAATGAAAACATGCTTCAGAGAGCTCTTGACCTCAGACTGAGGCGACAATTCATCTTCCAGCAGAACAATGAGCCAAAGCAGACAGCCAAAATATCGATGTAGTGGCTTCACAACAACTCTGTGAATGTCCTTAAGTGGCACAGCCAGAGCCCAGACCTAAATCCTATTGAACATCTGGAGAGGTCTGAAAATTCTGAGATTTTGAGAGGAGATCGCTTCCCATCCAACCTAATTGAGCTTGGATGTACTGCAAAGAGGAGTGGGCAAAAATTCCCAAAGACAGGTGTGCCAAGCTTGTGGCATCATATTCAAAAAGACTTTAGACTGCAATTGCTGCCAAAGGGGCATCAACAAAGTATTTATCAAAGGCTATGAATTAGGGCTGCACGATATTGGAAAAAATTGACATTGCGATATTTTTTTCCTCTGCGATATATATTGCGATATTTTATATATATATATATATATATATATATATATATATATATATATATATATATATATATATATATATTTACTTAAAACTAGGGCTGTGACGGTCACCATGACAACCGCGTCACCGCGGTGGTCATTGCCACCTCGGTTGTCCATTGCCACCGGCCGTAGTACGTGACGTCACGCACTTTAAAACACAAATTACTGTTATGTTGCCAAGTATTACATATCTGTTAGAATATAACATTAGGCGCGATTCAGCAAGTTCAAGTTCAACCATGAATCTTGTTAGAAAACGAACTCTTACATCTGGGAACATTTTGGATTCGTGCCGAACTAGAAAGGTGAACGAATCAATTTGGATTAAGCTTTTTGTATGGGGGTTTTAAGTAAAGTGTGTTTTAATATTCACTGCTGAGAGTCCAAACACCGAGGAGCAAATCCATCGATACGCAGATCCACGGGTCCCGAACCATGCAAGCTAGTGGCGATTGACGGCGAGGGAAAAAAAGCCATGTAGGCTTTAATCAACTCCTGTCTTCTAAACGCAAAAGCCCAGCTCAGCCAGGCATGGCAGAGGCATTTGCAAAAATAGCCAGATACAAAAGAGAAAGTGATAAATGGAAGACATTGACGAAAAATTGAGCATAGGCTATTTGGTAACTAGAACGCGCCGCTCCGCAGAGTAGAGAAACCTGCGTTGCGAGAAATGCGGGCGGCGGAACAGGAGAAGCCCTCTCTCGCATGGTTGTGAAAAAGTAACCTGTCTGTGCATTTTCGCTACAAGCACACCGTCTGACAGTGTATTGCTGGAAACATTATATAACCCCATTCTTCACTTAAACCGGACAAAGTCAACATGTTAGTTTTTCTGGCAAATAATTAAAAATATGACTACAAAAGGTGGAGAGAAACTACGCTGTTTTTTTAAACATCTGACTTATATTATTACTAGGTTAATATTTTCTTTTTACGTATAATTATTAATATTTATATTATTATTACACTGATTAAAGTGCCATTTAGAATTTTTGTTAAGTTCTTAAAAATGTAACGTTTAATTTATATTATTATACGGTTTCAAGCAGTTAAAGTAATGTAATATTTAACTACAATATTTATAAACAGTTTAGTGTTGTTTTATTAACGAAAGTTCAAAAATAAACATGTACGTTTATACGGATGTTTTATTTATTAATATTAAATTCGGCTATTCCTTAATTTTTACATAAAAGGTAAATTAACTTAAGTAGGCTACATTATTTGTTGATGTACGAGATCGAGGAACATTTGCCAGTAAATAATGTTCGCACCACTTAAAAAACAAAACAAATGAATAACTTGCGAAAAGGATGCAATAAAAATGCAAGCGCTTAATCATTCTTCACAATCGGATTCGTACGTGCAATAAGCCGAGGCTATATTGCGCCAACAAGAACAAGCCCTAAAACTAAGTCTAGAGAGAGAATTAATACTAGTTAATATTAATGATTATAAACACGAACTGCGTTGTATGATAAACGCATCACAATGATGTCGTGATCTTTGCTGAAGAACTGATATCGCCGTCTCCCCAGACAGGTTTTCATCTGCTTTTTTCCCCTTCTTCTGGATACAAAGTATCAGCGCCAGACCAGTGGTTTAAATTATATTTTACTCTCCTGATTTCTTTTCTTTTCATTAAAAATAAATAAATGTTTAAAGTTTTGTATTGCATAGCCTATATATTTTTAAAGATTATCATTCAGCCTACCTGCAGCGCATGAGGTTGTGTGCTGGGCAAATCCCCTTTACTCATGCTACCCATTTCATTTATGACACTGTAAACCTGACTTGGCAGGCTGATCATCTTTAAACTCAAAAGGTGTTTTTAACTTGAGACTGCATGCTTCTGCATAATGTGATGTTTCTTATTACAACTGTTAGCGGTGTCAAAATGAAAGCAAACATTAAAAAGGGTTTTGTTTTATCAATTGTATAGTTTAGTTTTAATAGCTAATGTATATAATAAATTATAATATCGATTATTGTGTAGACTACAGTGTCCAACAAAACAATTTTATTAGGTTACTCTAATAGACCAAATCCCTAACTGAAAAACGAATGTGAAAATGACAGGCAGTTGCGTCTTTGCTAAAATTAACGACAAATTTCTTTTGCTTTTTTCCCCTTTAGAGATTAAAAGAGCTGTATTTAAATAATTATTTCACTAAAACATGAATTGAATGCCCAGTTCTTTCCCGTGTGAGTTTAGTGCGCCTCCGCCGCGTCTGCGTTTTTAAGGTTACAGGTGCACCCTGACCTGACGCGGGGACCAGATCTCTGCACTATTGCTTTAATTTCTCAATTTTCATAACTGCATTGCATTTTCATATGGTAAAATATCAAAATTTATGTTCTGAAAGTAGTAGGAATGACGGGAGTGTTAGTAATTAATAACAGAAAGAACTTTCACTTTTGAGTGAACTTCTGTCACGTGTTATTTTAGTATGATAAAATAAACAAAAATAGTAATGCAGAAAAGTATTTTTCGCTCTGCCAAGCCTTCTCTGTTGCTGTATAGAGAAGCAGCCTGCTCAGTCTCCTTACCCCGGCCCCACCCCGCCCACCGACTCCTGAACGTCTCACTCACTCACTCACTCACTCACTCACTCACGCGGGCATGCAGTGCGGTCTCATGAGGAAACGCAGCTTTTTGATATAATGTTTTTCTTGTTCCCAAATACAAATAATTTATCAAGTATTGTTTGAAATAAGTATTCGTAAAAACACGCTATTCCTGCTTTTCCGAATACCGTATTCCGGTTCGGCTCCACCCATAATATATATATAAATTTTTTTTTTTTTTTTTTTTTTTTTTGCATCGCACCCTCCTGCGATGTGACTATCGCGGATGCGCACATCGCGATTTCGATGCTGAAACGATATATCGTGCAGCCCTACTATGAATACTTATGCACATGATTTTTCACGTTTTTCATTTTTAACACATTTTCAACAATTTCAAAATATCTGTTTTCTCATTGTCATTGTGGGGTATTGTGTGTAGAAGTTTGAGAAATTAAATGAATTTAATCTATTTTGGAATAAAACTGTAACATAAAAAATGTGGAAAAAGTGAAGCGCTATGAATACTTTCCGGATGCACTGTATTTGGTAAACTTTCTCCTAAATAACCTAATTTCAGAAAAGTATTCTTTTAAAATTTTAAAAAGGGAAATCATATTAGCAGCCAACAACAATGTACACCATTGACCACACAGTGAACTGAATAGTGCTAAATAATGTTTTTAACTCAGACCGATTATTTAACAGTAGCACGGTAAACATTATTTAGGGACCGTGTCACTATTATAAATGAACCAAAGTGTGCATGTAAAGCAACTTTACCTGAAAATCCAGTCCAGGGCAGTAAAGGACATTCCAAGCACATTTTAAAAATATTTTTGTTTATATATCAGCTTTAAATAATGAAAGCCCTTTTCAAACAGCTTTCTCTAAACATGGTTGTTTATAAAGGTTTTCAGTGTAGGTATAAGATTTCAACAACCAAGCACCTATTGAAGCACACTATATTAATCTTAAAAATGTTATTGCTCAACTTAATGCACATGAAAATGAAAATGAAAGGTGGTTGTTATGCAAATTACAATTTTAAACAATTGTCTACTTACATACAAGCTCAACTCAAACATCAACTCCAAATTCAATACACAATACTGCTTGTTTTATCAGCAGTAGCTGCCAGAAGAGTCAACATAAAGTAACAACAGCTCATGTAAAACAAGAAAAACACACAATAAAACGTTAATAACTGCCATAAACACTACCATAATGCGCGTTAAATCTTCTCGTGTTTACATCAACAACCATCATGTCAACAAAATCTACAACCTGACCAATATGTTCAGCATTAAACCGTAAATAACGCAGGATCTGCAGGTCTACCGAGCATTTTCAGCACATATATTTTCCTGCTGGATTCATACTCTTCTGCAAAACCCCTGACAAGTGATTGCATTTGTGTCAGAAGTGAGTAAAATCCACATATTTACCGTGCTCAACTGTGCAGCGCTCAGCGACTCCGCCATGATCCAAATGCCGTAAAGCGTCACCACAGCAACAGCAGCAGCACGGATTTGCAACAGTTTAAAAGTCTCACTGCAACATTGAATCATTGAACAGACACAGTATTATTATACGTAGACATAAATACGGAAGTGTAATGGAAATAGTTGTAAATAATATATTTAATCGAAAGTAATCGTATAATTATAGCAAAGTAATTCGCTATTCAGAGAATGAAGTAAAAGTATATATGGAAAATAATTCCAAAATCGAATATGATCAAAGTCCATTTAAAGTTTAGTTCATCCATATTTCACAGCATCCTAAGTAATAATAAAATAATGTTATTAATATTGATTTTGTGCTCCGCAAGAAACATCACGAGCAGATGGAGCAAACGTTGGTCTTCTTTAATTTTGTAGAAGGCCAATTTCACACTTCCGCATTCGTTACTTCCGGTTTTGACCGCCCCTGGGTAAACTTATTTCCGGTAAAAACAATGGCAGCGCAGTCGAGGAGCAAGGCGTTCTGCTGTGTACCAAAGTGCAGCATTTCAAAGCAAAAGCAACCATACATGAGTTTTCATGAGTTTCCCACTAACGATATGCAAAGACAAAAGTGGGTGCATGCAATTCGACGAGACGAAGGGCCGAAGTTTGATATTAGAAGGGCAAATACGTTAGTCTGCAGTCAACACTTCACTGCTTCTGACTTCATCCAGGGTAGTTGTCGTTTAAAACCTGGAGTTATTCCAAGTCGCTTTCAGTGGAACAATTTTCATGTACAGCCACAAAAGCAGTCTGCTTTTGAGAGGTCAAGTGCTCGTCTAGGAGTAGATGTGCGTGCCCCGAAAACTGTGAATCTGCAGAGTAACGACTCAGAAGTTATCGTCAAGGACCATGACTACGCTGCATACCCCCCTCCTGGAAATTATTTGTATTAAAGTGTAACTTAAAAGCAAAATTATACACACTAGGGCTGCATGATTATCTCGATTAGGGTTAAAGTCAATTCATAAAGTACCTAAAATGTCATTTCTGTCCTCATGTAATGATGTAATCACAGCCGCGAGGTCACACGTGAGCTGTCGCACTGTTTGTTTACATCAGAAAAAGACGCGTTTGTGTGCAGTGAACAGAACCTGTAAATTCAGTGAATAACAGGCAATAGTTTTAAAATAATGCTCAGTTTGTTGCACAAGGCGACAACTTTGCTCCATAATCAGGATATGATTTGCATGTATGTTTTGTTTCTCACAGTCGAGGCAAATTACATGGTTTAACAGTGCCATAAAGATAAATTAAATTCATTAACCCTATAATTCATCAACTATACAGTTCTTAACTATAAATCAGCACTGATTTGATTTCAGCGTAATGAATGCGCAGTTTTAGAGCTGCTTTATAAATGTATTAAGGTGTTTGCAACTCTAAATTCACCATTTATTTTTGTAAAGGTTCTTTGGAAAAAAAACATTGTATAAAGTGCTACAAAATTAAAAGTAACTTGTAGTTTAATGTTTTTACTTAGATTTTTTAATTCTTATCATTGATATTATTATTAAACCTTTGTAATTTGTAATTTTGTAGGTGCTTTGGATGAAGCCTTGGAATACATAGCAGAGCTGGAGGCTAGGCTAAATACAATTTCACTGGAGACACCAACTGTGTTCAGTAGGTTTTGTGTCTGATCACACAATTCGCTACTACACCAGGTTTCCCTCACAGGAAGTATTCCAGGTTTTCTGGGAGTCTGTTTGTCCATCTGCCACAAACCTTATGTACTGGACAAAAGCACAAAGAATGGGTCGGGAAGCTTCCCCTACACCAAGTCCTGCACGCAAAATTCAGCTCATAGATGAACTGTTCATGTACTGCTGCCGCGTAGCTGCTGGCCTTAGGGAGAGAGTAATTGCTGACATCTTTGGTGTAAGCATGGCCACAGTAAGCAGGACAGTCATCACCTGGGCAAATTATCTTTATTTTGTTTTAGGCTCTGTTCCCATTTGGATGTCAAGGGAACAAATAAGCTCTTCCATGCCTGAGAAGTATAGTTCATTCAGTCCAAATGTCAGAGTAATCCTGGACTGTACAGACATTTTCTGTGAGAGTCCCACATCTCTGACACTCCACTCAGAGATATTCTCTAAAAACAAGAGCACAACAACATTTAAAGGACTCTTGGGAGTGGCTCCATGTGGTGCAGTAACATCATCTCTCGTCTGTACACTGGCTCAATCTCTGACAAAGAGATTACAAGGAGGTCTGGCATCTTGAGTCTACTTGAACCTGGAGATGAGGTGATGGCTGACAAAGGCTTTACAATTGGGGACATGATCACCAATGTTGGTGCTACACTAATAATTCCACCGTTCAAGCGTGACCGGCAGTTCAGCAAGACAGACTGTCAAAAAACACAAACCATTGCACGGCTCAGAATTCTGGTGGAAAGAGTAATACGACGAGTTAAAGAAAACCACATCTTCGATTCTGCTGTACCACTAAGCTTGTCAGGAACAATTGACCAGATCTGGCATAACTGCTGCTTCATGGTAAATTACCAGGAACCAATGTTTTTGGAGCATTAAATGAGCCACATTTCTGCATCTTCTGTGGCCTTTACCTTGAAGCCAGATTGTCTGGCTAGCCAGTTAATTTTCAGTTTAGTTTCAGTTTAACTATTCTGAAATGTGTAAAATAGTAGAAATCAAACCCATCGGAGTAATCCATATACAAAGAACGGAAACCATGACAACCACATAAAATTAACTCAGTGTTTGTTTAGATACATTTGAAGGATTCTGTGCTGATTTGTTACATTGTTCTGTTTGTTATTATTAAAATAGTTACAAGTTAATGTAATTTTATGATTTCCTCTTAACTTTTACAAAAAATATTACAATGTATTTCCCCCTCTGTGCTCAGAGGCAGATTTGTTACTTTTATCAAGCAAAAATGAGCAGTATCCTGAAAATAACAAGGACAGTTTGAATAAACATTTTTTTTAAATAATTGCTATTGGTCAAAATAAACATATCATACAGTTGTTCTGTTGTCCAGTTGTTATTTGACACATTTTATTGTTAGTTTCAGATATAATACAGAATTGTAAACCTGAACTGATACAACATGAAATTTTTACAATTATAATAGTAGTTTAAAAATAGACAAAGTTGTAAAACAATATAAAATTAATTACTATACATGTATACATACCGTGGTAGCAATTTTAAAGGGTTAGCTCACAAGTGCAAGTATCAAGGTGAGTAATTAAAATTATAAATTTTGTGTGAATTAACCCTTTACTACAGCAATGCTTAAACCATAGATAGATACTTGTCCATATATACATAATAGTAATACATGTCCAACTTCTCCTTCATTGATGTTATAAAGACATCATCTCGCCAAATCCTCTGGATGGTTATGTCTGACTGTGTGTCAGTCACAAAGTCACACCACTGCAGACCAGTTACGGCAAGCTGGCCTTGAACCTGCCAATAGTATTTGTGTGTTTTTTTGAGTTTGGCTTGGCCCTTTTGCATTTTAATAAATGAAGCCTGGCCTATACTTTCAGCAGATGTAGCTTTTACTTCCACTAGACCAAATGGGAAGGTTTCAGATGGATCATATACTCTCCCATCTGGACTGGCACCTAGATGTGGTGCATCTGGGTGAACAACAAAGCCACAAGGTAAAACCGTAACCCTCTTTGTTTCAGAATATTGTTTCAAAATTTCTGGTTCAAGTTCAAGTCCACGTTTCATAGCACTTGTCTGCTTTGTGCCTTTTAGTATACGTGCTGCTAATGACTGGCTAGCAGATTCACCAACCACATAGCAGACTTCTCTAAACCTGCTTGCGGTGACTCTTGGTTGACGCGCATGTGCCCAGGCAGCACAATTTGACTGTAGTCGAGTATTGTGCTCAATCTGACCGGATAAGATGTGTGACACTTGTATTGACTGCAAATGAAAAGATTGGTGGTGACTGGGAACAAAATTTAGGTTTGTACTAAACTGACTGCCACACACTGGCAGGTTGGGGAAATCAACTGTAGGTTGATCAGCAGCTGTGAGAGGATAGTGAAACGAAAGAGGACTGCCCCGGGGTAATGGACCAAACTGGGAGCTGACCAACTCCGTTTCTGACATGCCAACTCCATTTCTGACATGTGTGAGGATCAGGCAGGTGTGATTTATTATGCTTTATCTGTCTACAGGTCGCCATCAAGTATGTGTCTAAAGAGCGGACACAGAGGAGACTGAGAGTTGTGAGTTCAGTGTGAACCTGTTGTTGTGTTTGATGTTTCATTGGGTTCTGAATCCAATCGTTTGTCCTGCAGGAAGGTCAGGGTCGGCTGCCGCTGGAGGTGGCACTGATGACCCGCGTCAATTCAGCTCCTGCCTGCCCCAACGTCCTGCAGCTGCTTGACTGGTTTGACCGTCCCAGACGCTACATCCTGATCCTGGAGCGTCCGGATCCCTGCCAAGACCTCCAGAGCTTCTGTGAGGAGAACGGCTGTCTGGATGAGCGTCTGGCCAAGAAAGTGCTGGTGCAGCTGATCGCGGCTCTGAAACACTGCGAGAGCCGCGGAGTCCTGCACCGGGACGTCAAGCCAGAGAACCTGCTGATCTCCACAGAGTCCCAGGACATCAAGCTGCTGGACTTCGGCTGTGGAGATCTGCTCAAGCGCTCGGCCTACAAATACTTCGCAGGTGGGTTTGTGTTGCAGAAGGAAACACTCTGTGGATGTTTGTGAGCTTTTGATGATCCACCAAAGGGAATTTGTGTGTGCTGGAGTGTTTTGAACGGGTGTTTGTGTCTCCTTGTGTCTCTCAGGAACTATTCAATACGCTCCACCTGAGTGGTTCTGCAGACAGCGCTACCATGCGGGTCCAGCTACGGTGTGGTCAGTAGGAGTGACCCTCTTCAACATCCTGTGCAACCGTTTCCCCTTCGGAGGTGCACTGAGGGTCACGTCCAGAAGCAAACTGACCTTCCCCATAACTCTGTCAACAGGTAAGAGACTCACTGAGAGATCAGCAGAAGTGTGTTGCTCTGTGTTTCTGAACACGGTGTTGTGTGTATCAGAGTGCCGTCAGCTGATTGGCTGGTGTCTCAGTCCAGCGGCGGCTGATCGGCCCAGTTTGGACGATATTGAGCGCCATCCCTGGTTACAGTGAACAGGTGGCCAGTGACTTGACACTTATCTGAGTGACGCACTCATGGCTTTGATTGTGTTGTTAGGGTCAGTCTGGATTAATGATCTTAATGATTTGTGTAGGGTGAGCAGGAGTCACACAGGAAGTGCAGAGAACTGCTTCCTGATCACCTGCAGAATGAGGAGTGGGCATAAACTAATGGCCGACTCACCCAGGGCCGGGGCCCCTTTACCTGCACTAAGCCACGGCTTTAGATGACTTTAATGTTAAAAGGGATTTTAATAATAAATGTATTATTTAGACAAATAATCCAGGTGTAGTGTCTTCCTAGAGTGACTGGAGAGAGCTCAAATAAAGGGAGAGTTCACACAGAAATCCAGATTTACTCACTGTTTACTCAAGCTCAAGCGGTTTCAAATCTTTAAGAGTTTCTTGTTTTCTGTTTTGCACAAAATAAAATGTTTTGAAGAAGCTGAAAACCTGTAACCGTTGACTTTCATAGTAGCAAAAACAAACAAGTCAATGGGTACAGCTTTTCAGCTTTCTTCAAAATATCTTCTTTTGTATTGAACAGAATAAAGAAACTCAAACAGGTTTGGAGCAAGTGAAAGGGAGTTAATGATACAGAATTGTTATTTTGGGGTGAACTATCCATTTAAGTCCTCTTAATGGAGGTTTTCATAATGGTTTTAAAATGAAGATTGCAGCTCTACTGACTGAGGCTAAAGGTGTGATGAAATATTGTTTAGGTTGTTATTCCATTAAATGATCTTATAGATCTATAATATATAAGTTTTGGTGGAGTTGTTGTGGTAATTTGCCCACAGTAGCAGTAAAACCTCTGAAATGGTGTACACATCTGATGATCTAAGACCTAGTTTTTTGTTTTTTTAATATTAGGAATGTTCAGAGCTCTGTTAGATGTACATTTGCATTCTACATTTCTGTTGTTGTAGCAGGGAGATGTTTGTTTTGTGGCATGAAAAGAGTTTAAGAACTTCAGTTTTAGCTGGGAGTACTACTGCATATGCACTCATGTGATTGGCTTAAATTATATTAAACTGAGAGACCCAGAAACAACACTGAGTCCTTTCTGAGACTGCAAGTCAAATATTTGGAAAAAACATTTAACCTTTCTTAAATGTATTTACATTTTTAATCATTAAAAACTTACAATATTAGAATCAATGAAAATAGGATGCAGATGCCAGAACATTGTCATTAACACTCTTTTGAATCATATTTCTACTAAAGAACAATGACTTTAGTTTACTCTACTTTACATTCTGCTGGTTCTGACATTAGAATAAATACTGAAGTCTGAACTCTGAGCTCTTTTATTCCTCTGCCTTTGTTGCTGTGTGGAAGGCATGTCTAATGAAGCATAACACACTTCATCACCAGCCTGAAACAGAATATATTTCATTAAAATAATAAACAAATAAATATATTATATTATATTGATGTAATTTGTGTTGCTGCTAAACTATTGCGAATGATATATATTAAAATTATTCTCAAAATGTGCTCATACCTCAACATGTCTGTTCTCAGCCCCAGAACCTACAGAAACTTAACAAAAGATAAGAATAATTTACATTTTATAATTTGAGATATCCATTTTTTACGAATAGCTGATGACCTGTAGTTTTCTTCTGACAGAGGCAGTAGACGCAGATGGAGAAGAGGAGAACACACACCGAACACACACTGAACAGCAGATTCCAGCAGAAAACACACTCTGATGCAGGTGATGTGGAGGTGCTGTTAAACCGTTCAGCACAAGGAGACTCTTGCTCTAAAATGAACAACAGGCCATTATTAAAGTGAATATATATTTAGTTATTATATTCATTTTATTTTATCTTTACTGATTACACACAATAATGAAAAATATGAGTTTAACACTGATGAATTTGCTAAAAGTGGTTGGAAAATCAGAAGTTAAAGATTCTAATATTAAATACACTATAAATCATCGTTTTACAAAATATAATGAATTTGCTGTTAATTTAATTTAAAGTATTATTAGAAACTAAGATACACTTTAAAAACTAATTATAAACACTTATTTTACTAATATACTTTATTAAATATACAATTTTTCTGTATTTGAAGTTGGACTATGGCTGCAGGATTGTGTTGCTTAATTATTTGCAGGACTTTGCATTAATTATCGATAAAATTCATTCAAATAATATTAAAATAATAAAACTTTAGGTAAACATGTAAACTTATCATTAAAGCACAGCTATATTATGAAGAGATAAACTATAATTGACACTAATATTAGCTGTAATCCATAATCATCAAAATGAACTGAAATAAACACTTGAAATAAATTATTCTGAGTGTAATGAATGATTAAATAATTCCCCAGCACGGTTTAATTGAGAAAATATCTTTTGCAACACATTTTTAAACATAATATGTTAAATAAATAATCTCTAATAACTCATGACACAATATATTAATAGTTATTTTACAAGACACTAGTATTCAGCTTAAAGTGCAGTTTAAAGGCTCACTGGGTTAATTAGGTTAACTAAAGTTAGTTTAATTTAGGCAAATCATAGGACAACAGTGCTTGGTTCTGTAGCCAAAAAAAAAAAAAAAAAAAAATCTTACAGGGCTAATAATAATGTGCTTAATTTTTTGTTTGTTTTTATCAAAAACTGTTTTCACTTCAGCCAAACTGAAAAATAAACTTCACTGATCTGATAAGATCTCTTAGATCATTGTCACAAAGCACAGATTTTCCATTAGGCTTTCTTTAGTCTTGTGTATTGATTAATGTGCGCGAGGGCAACTATTGGTTTAATGAGGGAGTTTTCTGAGAGATGAAGAGCTGTAAAGTGAGTGTTCAATTACAAAAAGAAATGATTATACAAACTCAGTGTTTCCTTTTATTAACATTAACAAAACCGTATTACTTTAAAAGAAATATAATTATCAAAGCATGTCTTAGAGCGAATAAGCCCAACAGGTTTTTTATGTAATCGCCTTTTATCTTAATTTATATATAAAATAAATGTTTAATTAGTAATCACTACTGATGGGTTAGATTTTCAATATTCAATATTGTTCAGTAATTATTCAGCAGTAATTAAACATCTCTGTAGCATTTCCTCCTGCAGATGTGGTTCAGTCAGTTCAGCACTGCAGGGAGCTGTCCATTGTGCTGAATTTACTCCACACTAAACTCTCTTCACACATTAAATTCATTATAAGTGTCTGATCAGTGAACAGGATACTGTCATTTCTCAACAACTAAAGAAGGTCTAATGTAGAAATTAAAAGATAATAGGAAATACAAACAGATGGATTTGCTTTATGAAAGGAAATTTTGTTGAATGATTATTACAATTTGGTTTAAATGTTGAATGTTGCACTCGTATATGTTGCATTGCTCTGCTCTTCTTTAAATAAATCAAACCTCAGTTGTGTGCTGTTTACACTGTCTCTGATTCATGGTACGTATTTTAATAAATCAGACTTTTGCATCTTCAGTTTCTCATCAATTCCAAGTCATGAAAATAATAAAAGCAACATTTACAGCTGCAGCGTGCACTAAATATTTTCTTACTTTTCTTATTTCTGTTTTTGTCTAACCACAGTTTATCTCATGCATTGATGTGTGTATTGAGCATGCAAGATCACCAGCTTGACCACAAACAGTTTTAGGACATTCAGTCTGTTGCATGCCTGAATAAAAACACTTGTGGTTTGTGTTCTCGCCTAGCTTTTCACAGCAACTGCAACATCACTGCACCAGGAGCGTCAGTAAAGACCAAGAAGAAGAAGAAGAAACACAGCACTGAGCCTGAAAGCTGATGTACTGAAGGCTGCAAGCAGAATCATTTATGACCCAGAGATAATTTAATATAAAAAATGTATATCAATATAAGAAATGAACCATATTATTAATCATATTATTCATTTCATAAAGAGTTTTTAACTACATTGAAAAAATAGAAACCTGTTTACCTTTAATATGTTTACTTTAATTAACTTTGATATATTTTTACTACTTTAAACTGGTGTATAAAATCAGGCCGCTTCAATGCACACTTTGCACCCTTAACAGAAGTTCAGAAGCTCAAATCACATCAAATCATCAAACGTAATGACAAACGAGAGATGTTTTTCTGAATAAAATACAATCTTTTTTTTTTGTTTTAATATAAATGAACAAGGCTAGATAGGTTAGGAAAAATCTAGCAAACGTACAAGCTAATTGTCATTACAGACCTTGTGATAGTAATTTAGCTTATTGAAAGCTGTATATTAGTAATGAAAACAGCTATCTAGATTCATACAAACAGAAATAATGTATTTATAAACTTGCACCTTTCTGCTGTGGACGCCATCTTGTGGTCAGACGCGGGAACTCATTCGGCAGGTGAACTTTTGTGCTTTCTAGCCGTTGAGTGAACACAAAGTCCCTTAAAAAGCCTTCACATACATCCAAAAAAACGAAAACATTAATAAAACTTAATAATATTAAATCTGAAAACAAGAGCAAATGAAAAGTACATAAATATGACTGAACCATGTAAGTTAGCCTACCAGATGATGATACAAACGGCCATGTGATCTGAAATCGTGCGTAGACCATAGACTGTAAAATATAGGCATAGACATAGAAATGGTGAACGATTTAATTTACTTTCTATTATTTACAATAATAAACTTTTTTTTTTAACTTATATTCCTAATATCTACGTGAGCAGTTAGCACTGTACGTGTAATTAACCAGCATGCACTTACATTGCTTGGGCCACTAATAGAAAATATATGAGTTAATTTTATTATTTTAATTTAATTAATTCCTAAATAGCTGTACATTTTACAAAGTCAAACCTTGTCAAACCAATCTTGCTCATTTAGCATTATTATTACAGTTTCGTGAATTATAAATTAATTGATTTAAACTTCATTATTATTATTATTATTATTATAACTATGTTATTTATTATTATTAATTATTTATTATTTATATGTTGAGATGAGATGAATCGTTTACTCATGTGATTCAGATTGGCGATTCAAATTGTGGTTGCTATAGCAACGCGTGTTATGATTTGACTCCATATATAAACACCGAGACTCGCCGCTATCTGTTGATTGAGGAGAGGCGAATTTCTGAGGCATTTGCTGAGGATTACTGTGCTGATACTGCGATTCTTCAAGGAGACCAGAGAATTTCTGACAGAAGACTTTTATTTTACAAGGAGATCGACGCTCAGAGCTGAAATTATTCCTTTTCACACGTTTTGTTGCTCTTTTGTTGTGTTTATTTTGATTTTGATCTTGTTTTTATCGTTTTTATTGACATTTTTATTGATATTTGATCTTTGTTCTTGTTTTCAGGTTTGCTGGAGTTTGGAGGAGTTTGTCAGATGGGTGAAAACCGCAGTGAGTGTTTTAGTTTTTATTTGTTTATGATCAATCATGATATGATGTTGTGTAATATTTGGGGAAATGTGATGTAAATAAACTGGTACAAATGAACCCATTTCAACACAACTGTTCCCCGATATAAGTGATCAGATGTCTTTTATTCTCTGTAGATGCAGCTACTAAAGTTAATTGTTGATTAATTCTTATAATCTTATAATAAACGTGATATGTTGTTGTTGTTGTTGTTGTCGTTGTCTCAGGCCGCTCCAGATCCAGGAGTTCTGCTTTCATCCAGGCAGCTGTTCAGGACGTCAGGACACATGATGGTGATGGTGAAACCCAGACCGTGAGCCAAGAGCTTGATGGACCTCTGCCTTCCCTGTTGGCCAAATCTGTGTCCACAGATCAGGGTAACAGGAAGAGGAAGCGGCAGAGCGGCAGCCAGCAAACACCAGAAGATGAACGTCCGTCCACCTCATCTAGAAGAGCTCTCAAACGCTCTCGCAGAGGTCAGAATGGCTTATTGAAGAAGTGATGATGATGTTTCAGTAATGCTCTTTTGCAGTTTTCTCTACTGCTGCATGTTTTCTTTGAACACACATTTCTACTGCTCCTCTGTGTTGCAGACGCGTATGCAAAGGGCCCACTGCTGGGAGACGGTGGATTTGGCTCTGTGTTCGCTGGGATGCGCAGGTCCGATGGACTGCCAGTAAGTCGTTTTCTCCGCTCTTCATTCAAACAGCCTTTAGAAATCCTGATCTCAGTAAATGTGATGTGTGAGGATCAGGCAGGTGTGATTTATTATGCTTTATCTGTCTACAGGTCGCCATCAAGTATGTGTCTAAAGAGCGGACACAGAGGAGACTGAGAGTTGTGAGTTCAGTGTGAACCTGTTGTTGTGTTTGATGTTTCATTGGGTTCTGAATCCAATCGTTTGTCCTGCAGGAAGGTCAGGGTCGGCTGCCGCTGGAGGTGGCACTGATGACCCGCGTCAATTCAGCTCCTGCCTGCCCCAACGTCCTGCAGCTGCTTGACTGGTTTGACCGTCCCAGACGCTACATCCTGATCCTGGAGCGTCCGGATCCCTGCCAAGACCTCCAGAGCTTCTGTGAGGAGAACGGCTGTCTGGATGAGCGTCTGGCCAAGAAAGTGCTGGTGCAGCTGATCGCGGCTCTGAAACACTGCGAGAGCCGCGGAGTCCTGCACCGGGACGTCAAGCCAGAGAACCTGCTGATCTCCACAGAGTCCCAGGACATCAAGCTGCTGGACTTCGGCTGTGGAGATCTGCTCAAGCGCTCGGCCTACAAATACTTCGCAGGTGGGTTTGTGTTGCAGAAGGAAACACTCTGTGGATGTTTGTGAGCTTTTGATGATCCACCAAAGGGAATTTGTGTGTGCTGGAGTGTTTTGAACGGGTGTTTGTGTCTCCTTGTGTCTCTCAGGAACTATTCAATACGCTCCACCTGAGTGGTTCTGCAGACAGCGCTACCATGCGGGTCCAGCTACGGTGTGGTCAGTAGGAGTGACCCTCTTCAACATCCTGTGCAACCGTTTCCCCTTCGGAGGTGCACTGAGGGTCACGTCCAGAAGCAAACTGACCTTCCCCATAACTCTGTCAACAGGTAAGAGACTCACTGAGAGATCAGCAGAAGTGTGTTGCTCTGTGTTTCTGAACACGGTGTTGTGTGTATCAGAGTGCCGTCAGCTGATTGGCTGGTGTCTCAGTCCAGCGGCGGCTGATCGGCCCAGTTTGGACGATATTGAGCGCCATCCCTGGTTACAGTGAACAGGTGGCCAGTGACTTGACACTTATCTGAGTGACGCACTCATGGCTTTGATTGTGTTGTTAGGGTCAGTCTGGATTAATGATCTTAATGATTTGTGTAGGGTGAGCAGGAGTCACACAGGAAGTGCAGAGAACTGCTTCCTGATCACCTGCAGAATGAGGAGTGGGCATAAACTAATGGCCGACTCACCCAGGGCCGGGGCCCCTTTACCTGCACTAAGCCACGGCTTTAGATGACTTTAATGTTAAAAGGGATTTTAATAATAAATGTATTATTTAGACAAATAATCCAGGTGTAGTGTCTTCCTAGAGTGACTGGAGAGAGCTCAAATAAAGGGAGAGTTCACACAGAAATCCAGATTTACTCACTGTTTACTCAAGCTCAAGCGGTTTCAAATCTTTAAGAGTTTCTTGTTTTCTGTTTTGCACAAAATAAAATGTTTTGAAGAAGCTGAAAACCTGTAACCGTTGACTTTCATAGTAGCAAAAACAAACAAGTCAATGGGTACAGCTTTTCAGCTTTCTTCAAAATATCTTCTTTTGTATTGAACAGAATAAAGAAACTCAAACAGGTTTGGAGCAAGTGAAAGGGAGTTAATGATACAGAATTGTTATTTTGGGGTGAACTATCCATTTAAGTCCTCTTAATGGAGGTTTTCATAATGGTTTTAAAATGAAGATTGCAGCTCTACTGACTGAGGCTAAAGGTGTGATGAAATATTGTTTAGGTTGTTATTCCATTAAATGATCTTATAGATCTATAATATATAAGTTTTGGTGGAGTTGTTGTGGTAATTTGCCCACAGTAGCAGTAAAACCTCTGAAATGGTGTACACATCTGATGATCTAAGACCTAGTTTTTTGTTTTTTTAATATTAGGAATGTTCAGAGCTCTGTTAGATGTACACTTGCATTCTACATTTCTGTTGTTGTAGCAGGGAGATGTTTGTTTTGTGGCATGAAAAGAGTTTAAGAACTTCAGTTTTAGCTGGGAGTACTACTGCATATGCACTCATGTGATTGGCTTAAATTATATTAAACTGAGAGACCCAGAAACAACACTGAGTCCTTTCTGAGACTGCAAGTCAAATATTTGGAAAAAACATTTAACCTTTCTTAAATGTATTTACATTTTTAATCATTAAAAACTTACAATATTAGAATCAATGAAAATAGGATGCAGATGCCAGAACATTGTCATTAACACTCTTTTGAATCATATTTCTACTAAAGAACAATGACTTTAGTTTACTCTACTTTACATTCTGCTGGTTCTGACATTAGAATAAATACTGAAGTCTGAACTCTGAGCTCTTTTATTCCTCTGCCTTTGTTGCTGTGTGGAAGGCATGTCTAATGAAGCATAACACACTTCATCACCAGCCTGAAACAGAATATATTTCATTAAAATAATAAACAAATAAATATATTATATTATATTGATGTAATTTGTGTTGCTGCTAAACTATTGCGAATGATATATATTAAAATTATTCTCAAAATGTGCTCATACCTCAACATGTCTGTTCTCAGCCCCAGAACCTACAGAAACTTAACAAAAGATAAGAATAATTTACATTTTATAATTTGAGATATCCATTTTTTACGAATAGCTGATGACCTGTAGTTTTCTTCTGACAGAGGCAGTAGACGCAGATGGAGAAGAGGAGAACACACACCGAACACACACTGAACAGCAGATTCCAGCAGAAAACACACTCTGATGCAGGTGATGTGGAGGTGCTGTTAAACCGTTCAGCACAAGGAGACTCTTGCTCTAAAATGAACAACAGGCCATTATTAAAGTGAATATATATTTAGTTATTATATTCATTTTATTTTATCTTTACTGATTACACACAATAATGAAAAATATGAGTTTAACACTGATGAATTTGCTAAAAGTGGTTGGAAAATCAGAAGTTAAAGATTCTAATATTAAATACACTATAAATCATCGTTTTACAAAATATAATGAATTTGCTGTTAATTTAATTTAAAGTATTATTAGAAACTAAGATACACTTTAAAAACTAATTATAAACACTTATTTTACTAATATACTTTATTAAATATACAATTTTTCTGTATTTGAAGTTGGACTATGGCTGCAGGATTGTGTTGCTTAATTATTTGCAGGACTTTGCATTAATTATCGATAAAATTCATTCAAATAATATTAAAATAATAAAACTTTAGGTAAACATGTAAACTTATCATTAAAGCACAGCTATATTATGAAGAGATAAACTATAATTGACACTAATATTAGCTGTAATCCATAATCATCAAAATGAACTGAAATAAACACTTGAAATAAATTATTCTGAGTGTAATGAATGATTAAATAATTCCCCAGCACGGTTTAATTGAGAAAATATCTTTTGCAACACATTTTTAAACATAATATGTTAAATAAATAATCTCTAATAACTCATGACACAATATTTTAATAGTTATTTTACAAGACACTAGTATTCAGCTTAAAGTGCAGTTTAAAGGCTCACTGGGTTAATTAGGTTAACTAAAGTTAGTTTAATTTAGGCAAATCATAGGACAACAGTGCTTGGTTCTGTAGCCAAAAAAAAAAAAAAAAAATCTTACAGGGCTAATAATAATGTGCTTAATTTTTTGTTTGTTTTTATCAAAAACTGTTTTCACTTCAGCCAAACTGAAAAATAAACTTCACTGATCTGATAAGATCTCTTAGATCATTGTCACAAAGCACAGATTTTCCATTAGGCTTTCTTTAGTCTTGTGTATTGATTAATGTGCGCGAGGGCAACAATTGGTTTAATGAGGGAGTTTTCTGAGAGATGAAGAGCTGTAAAGTGAGTGTTCAATTACAAAAAGAAATGATTAAACAAACTCAGTGTTTCCTTTTATTAACATTAACAAAACCGTATTACTTTAAAAGAAATATAATTATCAAAGCATGTCTTAGAGCGAATAAGCCCAACAGGTTTTTTATGTAATCGCCTTTTATCTTAATTTATATATAAAATAAATGTTTAATTAGTAATCACTACTGATGGGTTAGATTTTCAATATTCAATATTGTTCAGTAATTATTCAGCAGTAATTAAACATCTCTGTAGCATTTCCTCCTGCAGATGTGGTTCAGTCAGTTCAGCACTGCAGGGAGCTGTCCATTGTGCTGAATTTACTCCACACTAAACTCTCTTCACACATTAAATTCATTATAAGTGTCTGATCAGTGAACAGGATACTGTCATTTCTCAACAACTAAAGAAGGTCTAATGTAGAAATTAAAAGATAATAGGAAATACAAACAGATGGATTTGCTTTATGAAAGGAAATTTTGTTGAATGATTATTACAATTTGGTTTAAATGTTGAATGTTGCACTCGTATATGTTGCATTGCTCTGCTCTTCTTTAAATAAATCAAACCTCAGTTGTGTGCTGTTTACACTGTCTCTGATTCATGGTACGTATTTTAATAAATCAGACTTTTGCATCTTCAGTTTCTCATCAATTCCAAGTCATGAAAATAATAAAAGCAACATTTACAGCTGCAGCGTGCACTAAATATTTTCTTACTTTTCTTATTTCTGTTTTTGTCTAACCACAGTTTATCTCATGCATTGATGTGTGTATTGAGCATGCAAGATCACCAGCTTGACCACAAACAGTTTTAGGACATTCAGTCTGTTGCATGCCTGAATAAAAACACTTGTGGTTTGTGTTCTCGCCTAGCTTTTCACAGCAACTGCAACATCACTGCACCAGGAGCGTCAGTAAAGACCAAGAAGAAGAAGAAGAAACACAGCACTGAGCCTGAAAGCTGATGTACTGAAGGCTGCAAGCAGAATCATTTATGACCCAGAGATAATTTAATATAAAAAATGTATATCAATATAAGAAATGAACCATATTATTAATCATATTATTCATTTCATAAAGAGTTTTTAACTACATTGAAAAAATAGAAACCTGTTTACCTTTAATATGTTTACTTTAATTAACTTTGATATATTTTTACTACTGTAAACTGGTGTATAAAATCAGGCCGCTTCAATGCACACTTTGCACCCTTAACAGAAGTTCAGAATCTCAAATCACATCAAATCATCAAACGTAATGACAAACGAGAGATGTTTTTCTGAATAAAATACAATCTTTTTTTTTGTTTTAATATAAATGAACAAGGCTAGATAGGTTAGGAAAATTCTAGCAAACGTACAAGCTAATTGTCATTACAGACCTTGTGATAGTAGTTTAGCTTATTGAAAGCTGTATATTAGTAATGAAAACAGCTATCTAGATTCATACAAACAGAAATAATGTATTTATAAACTTGCACCTTTCTGCTGTGGACGCCATCTTGTGGTCAGACGCGGGAACTCATTCGGCAGGTGAACTTTTGTGCTTTCTAGCCGTTGAGTGAACACAAAGTCCCTTAAAAAGCCTTCACATACATCCAAAAAAACGAAAACATTAATAAAACTTAATAATATTAAATCTGAAAACAAGAGCAAATGAAAAGTACATAAATATGACTGAACCATGTAGCCTACCAGATGATGATACAAACGGCCATGTGATCTGAAATCGTGCGTAGACCATAGACTGTAAAATATAGGCATAGACATAGAAATGGTGAACGATTTAATTTACTTTCTATTATTTACAATAATAAACTTTTTTTTTTAACTTATATTCCTAATATCTACGTGAGCAGTTAGCACTGTACGTGTAATTAACCAGCATGCACTTACATTGCTTGGGCCACTAATAGAAAATATATGAGTTAATTTTATTATTTTAATTTAATTAATTCCTAAATAGCTGTACATTTTACAAAGTCAAACCTTGTCAAACCAATCTTGCTCATTTAGCATTATTATTACAGTTTCGTGAATTATAAATTAATTGATTTAAACTTCATTATTATTATTATTATTATTATAACTATGTTATTTATTATTATTAATTATTTATTATTTATATGTTGAGATGAGATGAATCGTTTACTCATGTGATTCAGATTGGCGATTCAAATTGTGGTTGCTATAGCAACGCGTGTTATGATTTGACTCCATATATAAACACCGAGACTCGCCGCTATCTGTTGATTGAGGAGAGGCGAATTTCTGAGGCATTTGCTGAGGATTACTGTGCTGATACTGCGATTCTTCAAGGAGACCAGAGAATTTCTGACAGAAGACTTTTATTTCACAAGGAGATCGACGCTCAGAGCTGAAATTATTCCTTTTCACACGTTTTGTTGCTCTTTTGTTGTGTTTATTTTGATTTTGATCTTGTTTTTATCGTTTTTATTGACATTTTTATTGATATTTGATCTTTGTTCTTGTTTTCAGGTTTGCTGGAGTTTGGAGGAGTTTGTCAGATGGGTGAAAACCGCAGTGAGTGTTTTAGTTTTTATTTGTTTATGATCAATCATGATATGATGTTGTGTAATATTTGGGGAAATGTGATGTAAATAAACTGGTACAAATGAACCCATTTCAACACAACTGTTCCCCGATATAAGTGATCAGATGTCTTTTATTCTCTGTAGATGCAGCTACTAAAGTTAATTGTTGATTAATTCTTATAATCTTATAATAAACGTGATATGTTGTTGTTGTTGTTGTTGTCGTTGTCTCAGGCCGCTCCAGATCCAGGAGTTCTGCTTTCATCCAGGCAGCTGTTCAGGACGTCAGGACACATGATGGTGATGGTGAAACCCAGACCGTGAGCCAAGAGCTTGATGGACCTCTGCCTTCCCTGTTGGCCAAATCTGTGTCCACAGATCAGGGTAACAGGAAGAGGAAGCGGCAGAGCGGCAGCCAGCAAACACCAGAAGATGAACGTCCGTCCACCTCATCTAGAAGAGCTCTCAAACGCTCTCGCAGAGGTCAGAATGGCTTATTGAAGAAGTGATGATGATGTTTCAGTAATGCTCTTTTGCAGTTTTCTCTACTGCTGCATGTTTTCTTTGAACACACATTTCTACTGCTCCTCTGTGTTGCAGACGCGTATGCAAAGGGCCCACTGCTGGGAGACGGTGGATTTGGCTCTGTGTTCGCTGGGATGCGCAGGTCCGATGGACTGCCAGTAAGTCGTTTTCTCCGCTCTTCATTCAAACAGCCTTTAGAAATCCTGATCTCAGTAAATGTGATGTGTGAGGATCAGGCAGGTGTGATTTATTATGCTTTATCTGTCTACAGGTCGCCATCAAGTATGTGTCTAAAGAGCGGACACAGAGGAGACTGAGAGTTGTGAGTTCAGTGTGAACCTGTTGTTGTGTTTGATGTTTCATTGGGTTCTGAATCCAATCGTTTGTCCTGCAGGAAGGTCAGGGTCGGCTGCCGCTGGAGGTGGCACTGATGACCCGCGTCAATTCAGCTCCTGCCTGCCCCAACGTCCTGCAGCTGCTTGACTGGTTTGACCGTCCCAGACGCTACATCCTGATCCTGGAGCGTCCGGATCCCTGCCAAGACCTCCAGAGCTTCTGTGAGGAGAACGGCTGTCTGGATGAGCGTCTGGCCAAGAAAGTGCTGGTGCAGCTGATCGCGGCTCTGAAACACTGCGAGAGCCGCGGAGTCCTGCACCGGGACGTCAAGCCAGAGAACCTGCTGATCTCCACAGAGTCCCAGGACATCAAGCTGCTGGACTTCGGCTGTGGAGATCTGCTCAAGCGCTCGGCCTACAAATACTTCGCAGGTGGGTTTGTGTTGCAGAAGGAAACACTCTGTGGATGTTTGTGAGCTTTTGATGATCCACCAAAGGGAATTTGTGTGTGCTGGAGTGTTTTGAACGGGTGTTTGTGTCTCCTTGTGTCTCTCAGGAACTATTCAATACGCTCCACCTGAGTGGTTCTGCAGACAGCGCTACCATGCGGGTCCAGCTACGGTGTGGTCAGTAGGAGTGACCCTCTTCAACATCCTGTGCAACCGTTTCCCCTTCGGAGGTGCACTGAGGGTCACGTCCAGAAGCAAACTGACCTTCCCCATAACTCTGTCAACAGGTAAGAGACTCACTGAGAGATCAGCAGAAGTGTGTTGCTCTGTGTTTCTGAACACGGTGTTGTGTGTATCAGAGTGCCGTCAGCTGATTGGCTGGTGTCTCAGTCCAGCGGCGGCTGATCGGCCCAGTTTGGACGATATTGAGCGCCATCCCTGGTTACAGTGAACAGGTGGCCAGTGACTTGACACTTATCTGAGTGACGCACTCATGGCTTTGATTGTGTTGTTAGGGTCAGTCTGGATTAATGATCTTAATGATTTGTGTAGGGTGAGCAGGAGTCACACAGGAAGTGCAGAGAACTGCTTCCTGATCACCTGCAGAATGAGGAGTGGGCATAAACTAATGGCCGAGTCACCCAGGGCCGGGGCCCCTTTACCTGCACTAAGCCACGGCTTTAGATGACTTTAATGTTAAAAGGGATTTTAATAATAAATGTATTATTTAGACAAATAATCCAGGTGTAGTGTCTTCCTAGAGTGACTGGAGAGAGCTCAAATAAAGGGAGAGTTCACACAGAAATCCAGATTTACTCACTGTTTACTCAAGCTCAAGCGGTTTCAAATCTTTAAGAGTTTCTTGTTTTCTGTTTTGCACAAAATAAAATGTTTTGAAGAAGCTGAAAACCTGTAACCGTTGACTTTCATAGTAGCAAAAACAAACAAGTCAATGGGTACAGCTTTTCAGCTTTCTTCAAAATATCTTCTTTTGTATTGAACAGAATAAAGAAACTCAAACAGGTTTGGAGCGAGTGAAAGGGAGTTAATGATACAGAATTGTTATTTTGGGGTGAACTATCCATTTAAGTCCTCTTAATGGAGGTTTTTATAATGGTTTTAAAATGAAGATTGCAGCTCTACTGACTGAGGCTAAAGGTGTGATGAAATATTGTTTAGGTTGTTATTCCATTAAATGATCTTATAGATCTATAATATATAAGTTTTGGTGGAGTTGTTGTGGTAATTTGCCCACAGTAGCAGTAAAACCTCTGAAATGGTGTACACATCTGATGATCTAAGACCTAGTTTTTTGTTCTTTTAATATTAGGAATGTTCAGAGCTCTGTTAGATGTACATTTGCATTCTACATTTCTGTTGTTGTAGCAGGGAGATGTTTGTTTTGTGGCATGAAAAGAGTTTAAGAACTTCAGTTTTAGCTGGGAGTACTACTGCATATGCACTCATGTGATTGGCTTAAATTATATTAAACTGAGAGACCCAGAAACAACACTGAGTCCTTTCTGAGACTGCAAGTCAAATATTTGGAAAAAACATTTAACCTTTCTTAAATGTATTTACATTTTTAATCATTAAAAACTTACAATATTAGAATCAATGAAAATAGGATGCAGATGCCAGAACATTGTCATTAACACTCTTTTGAATCATATTTCTACTAAAGAACAATGACTTTAGTTTACTCTACTTTACATTCTGCTGGTTCTGACATTAGAATAAATACTGAAGTCTGAACTCTGAGCTCTTTTATTCCTCTGCCTTTGTTGCTGTGTGGAAGGCATGTCTAATGAAGCATAACACACTTCATCACCAGCCTGAAACAGAATATATTTCATTAAAATAATAAACAAATAAATATATTATATTATATTGATGTAATTTGTGTTGCTGCTAAACTATTGCGAATGATATATATTAAAATTATTCTCAAAATGTGCTCATACCTCAACATGTCTGTTCTCAGCCCCAGAACCTACAGAAACTTAACAAAAGATAAGAATAATTTACATTTTATAATTTGAGATATCCATTTTTTACGAATAGCTGATGACCTGTAGTTTTCTTCTGACAGAGGCAGTAGACGCAGATGGAGAAGAGGAGAACACACACCGAACACACACTGAACAGCAGATTCCAGCAGAAAACACACTCTGATGCAGGTGATGTGGAGGTGCTGTTAAACCGTTCAGCACAAGGAGACTCTTGCTCTAAAATGAACAACAGGCCATTATTAAAGTGAATATATATTTAGTTATTATATTCATTTTATTTTATCTTTACTGATTACACACAATAATGAAAAATATGAGTTTAACACTGATGAATTTGCTAAAAGTGGTTGGAAAATCAGAAGTTAAAGATTCTAATATTAAATACACTATAAATCATCGTTTTACAAAATATAATGAATTTGCTGTTAATTTAATTTAAAGTATTATTAGAAACTAAGATACACTTTAAAAACTAATTATAAACACTTATTTTACTAATATACTTTATTAAATATACAATTTTTCTGTATTTGAAGTTGGACTATGGCTGCAGGATTGTGTTGCTTAATTATTTGCAGGACTTTGCATTAATTATCGATAAAATTCATTCAAATAATATTAAAATAATAAAACTTTAGGTAAACATGTAAACTTATCATTAAAGCACAGCTATATTATGAAGAGATAAACTATAATTGACACTAATATTAGCTGTAATCCATAATCATCAAAATGAACTGAAATAAACACTTGAAATAAATTATTCTGAGTGTAATGAATGATTAAATAATTCCCCAGCACGGTTTAATTGAGAAAATATCTTTTGCAACACATTTTTAAACATAATATGTTAAATAAATAATCTCTAATAACTCATGACACAATATTTTAATAGTTATTTTACAAGACACTAGTATTCAGCTTAAAGTGCAGTTTAAAGGCTCACTGGGTTAATTAGGTTAACTAAAGTTAGTTTAATTTAGGCAAATCATAGGACAACAGTGCTTGGTTCTGTAGCCAAAAAAAAAAAAAAAAAAAAAAAAAAATCTTACAGGGCTAATAATAATGTGCTTAATTTTTTGTTTGTTTTTATCAAAAACTGTTTTCACTTCAGCCAAACTGAAAAATAAACTTCACTGATCTGATAAGATCTCTTAGATCATTGTCACAAAGCACAGATTTTCCATTAGGCTTTCTTTAGTCTTGTGTATTGATTAATGTGCGCGAGGGCAACTATTGGTTTAATGAGGGAGTTTTCTGAGAGATGAAGAGCTGTAAAGTGAGTGTTCAATTACAAAAAGAAATGATTATACAAACTCAGTGTTTCCTTTTATTAACATTAACAAAACCGTATTACTTTAAAAGAAATATAATTATCAAAGCATGTCTTAGAGCGAATAAGCCCAACAGGTTTTTTATGTAATCGCCTTTTATCTTAATTTATATATAAAATAAATGTTTAATTAGTAATCACTACTGATGGGTTAGATTTTCAATATTCAATATTGTTCAGTAATTATTCAGCAGTAATTAAACATCTCTGTAGCATTTCCTCCTGCAGATGTGGTTCAGTCAGTTCAGCACTGCAGGGAGCTGTCCATTGTGCTGAATTTACTCCACACTAAACTCTCTTCACACATTAAATTCATTATAAGTGTCTGATCAGTGAACAGGATACTGTCATTTCTCAACAACTAAAGAAGGTCTAATGTAGAAATTAAAAGATAATAGGAAATACAAACAGATGGATTTGCTTTATGAAAGGAAATTTTGTTGAATGATTATTACAATTTGGTTTAAATGTTGAATGTTGCACTCGTATATGTTGCATTGCTCTGCTCTTCTTTAAATAAATCAAACCTCAGTTGTGTGCTGTTTACACTGTCTCTGATTCATGGTACGTATTTTAATAAATCAGACTTTTGCATCTTCAGTTTCTCATCAATTCCAAGTCATGAAAATAATAAAAGCAACATTTACAGCTGCAGCATGCACTAAATATTTTCTTACTTTTCTTATTTCTGTTTTTGTCTAACCACAGTTTATCTCATGCATTGATGTGTGTATTGAGCATGCAAGATCACCAGCTTGACCACAAACAGTTTTAGGACATTCAGTCTGTTGCATGCCTGAATAAAAACACTTGTGGTTTGTGTTCTCGCCTAGCTTTTCACAGCAACTGCAACATCACTGCACCAGGAGCGTCAGTAAAGACCAAGAAGAAGAAGAAGAAACACAGCACTGAGCCTGAAAGCTGATGTACTGAAGGCTGCAAGCAGAATCATTTATGACCCAGAGATAATTTAATATAAAAAATGTATATCAATATAAGAAATGAACCATATTATTAATCATATTATTCATTTCATAAAGAGTTTTTAACTACATTCAAAAAATAGAAACCTGTTTACCTTTAATATGTTTACTTTAATTAACTTTGATATATTTTTACTACTGTAAACTGGTGTATAGAATCAGGCCGCTTCAATGCACACTTTGCACCCTTAACAGAAGTTCAGAAGCTCAAATCACATCAAATCATCAAACGTAATGACAAACGAGAGATGTTTTTCTGAATAAAATACAATCTTTTTTTGTTTTAATATAAATGAACAAGGCTAGATATGTTAGGAAAATTCTAGCAAACGTACAAGCTAATTGTCATTACAGACCTTGTGATGGTAATTTAGCTTATTGAAAGCTGTATATTAGTAATGAAAACAGCTATTTAGATTCATACAAACAGAAATAATGTATTTATAAACTTGCACCTTTCTGCTGTGGACGCCATCTTGTGGTCAGACGCGGGAACTCATTCGGCAGGTGAACTTTTGTGCTTTCTAGCCGTTGAGTGAACACAAAGTCCCTTAAAAAGCCTTCACATACATCCAAAAAAACGAAAACATTAATAAAACTTAATAATATTAAATCTGAAAACAAGAGCAAATGAAAAGTACATAAATATGACTGAACCATGTAGCCTACCAGATGATGATACAAACGGCCATGTGATCTGAAATCGTGCGTAGACCATAGACTGTAAAATATAGGCATAGACATAGAAATGGTGAAACGATTTAATTTACTTTCTATTATTTACAATAATAAACTTTTTTTTTTAACTTATATTCCTAATATTTACGTGAGCAGTTAGCGCTGTACGTGTAATTAACCAGCATGCACTTACATTGCTTGGGCCACTAATAGAAAATATATGAGTTAATTTTATTATTTTAATTTAATTAATTCCTAAATAGCTGTACATTTTACAAAGTCAAACCTTGTCAAACCAATCTTGCTCATTTAGCATTATTATTACAGTTTCGTGAATTATAAATTAATTGATTTAAACTTCATTATTATTATTATTATAACTATGTTATTTATTATTATTAATTATTTAATATTTATATGTTGAGATGAGATGAATCGTTTACTCATGTGATTCAGATTAGCGTCCTCTAGTGGAATGTGTAAAATCCCATTAACGGTGAGGAGAAGTTGTTTGCACTATAAAAGAAAACAGCGACTTTTGTTTTGTTTTGTTGTCTGTTGTCACCAACCAGTCCTGCAAATCACACAAGCCACTTTCACCAGTTAAGCGGCTATAGCTCAACAACATGTGTGGGAATAGTTTATATCACGCTCAATATATAATGATATATATAACGCAAGTGTCATTAACGTATTATATAACGCAAGTGTCATTCACCAGTTTTATACAAATCAGGGTTATTTGTGGTTAATAGCAAAAATATTATAATATGTTTATTGTTTAACTACAAAAAAAAAAAAAAACTAAACTACAATAGTTCAATAATATACCACATTTTACTATGAGGTGCCGTGTAGGATTTAAATCAAACTTTGCTTATCAACACATACATAAAACATGTGTATATACACCTATAATTTACTCGCATATACACCTATACTACTGGATGTTCAAAACAACATAGATGAAACTTGTGTATATACATATAAACTTGACGCATGAATACACCCACATACACACGCGCATACATATAAACTCGATCCCCACATAAACACTCACATTAACAAACGCACATACATATAAACTTGCTGCATGCAAAAACACACCTATGCACACTCGCATATACATATAAACGCTGCATGCAAACACACCTATACACACTCGCATATACATATAAACTTGCTGCATGCAAACACACCTATACACACTCGTATATGCATATAAACTTGATCTATGCACAAACACCCAAATGACACTTGTGCAAACATACAAAATAAAATTCACAAACATATATAGTTAGTTGTGTATATACATATATGCAAGTGATTTCATATGTGTGTATGCATGAATTTTCACAGTAAAAGGAAGTTATTTCACTTTAAAAGGAAGTAGTTTAATTTCAACGTAAAAGTCCTTTGAGTGTAATGAACAAGATTATTATTTGTCATGAATCAGGTTATTGCAAAGCTTAAGAAACAGAAATAATGTGATTAATAGAGGAATTACATCTGTTGAATTATGAAAATAGATTATGCTAATTCTAAAAATAAATAAATATAAAGGTAATGCTAAGGAATGCTCCTGCAAAATTAAAGGTTTATTATGCAATTAAATTATTGGAAATGTTATTATGGTTTAATAAATATAAGGTTGCTTAAGTAATCACTTTGAATAAAATATTTTTGTCTAATATTAGTTTTTTATGTTTGTTTTATTATTGGTGTCACTATTCGTCAAGGGTTATGATACATACTTATGTCCAGTAGGGGGCAGGAATGCACTTAAGTGGGTTTTCCTGTTACCAATACACAGGCTAATGCACCAAAATGCTGGATGCCAGCTGCTGTAAAAATATAAGTAGTAGTTGTTAAACATAAAATGAGTGACCAGAGAATATATATAGCTTTTCCATGGGGGTTAACTTGACCAACATGATGAGCAGAGACTTTTAATCAGCGGGTTTTTTTATTATTATTTTTTTTTGTATATGCTGAATAATTAACAATCAAAATGATACCAAAATCTTGCAATTTTGACACCCACATTGTAAAAACATATAAAAAGCATAATAATTATAAGAATTTAAAAAACAAAACAAGAAGACTGTAGGCTACATTAACATTTGCAATAGAAAAGAGGAGTTTAGTTTGAGTATACATTTATATTTATGGTTGCTTTTTGAACATCCTTTAAGGGTTCTAATAAGTGTTCTGTCCCTTTATATTTGTGTATGTAATTACCTAATTAAATGAAAAGGTTTAAAATAAAAATATTTCTTATTTTGAGTAGTCTATTTATATAGACTCATATTTTATATATCATATGTTCATAATTTAACATATTTAATCCCTCTATTAATTGCATTATTTATATTTCATAAGCTTTGCAATAACCAGATTCGTGATAAACGTTTGTGAGTTTTATTTATTTTTTATTAAATATAATATTCTTTTTATATAATATTTTTACATTTTTTTTTTATTATTTATATGCATAGATCGAGTTTATATGTATATGCGATTATGTAGGTGTGTTTGCATGCTGCGAGTTATGCATGTGCATGTAAATGTGGGTATTTATGCGAGAATCAAGTTTATATATGCGAGTGTGTATAGGTGTGTTTGCATGCAGCAAGTTTATATGTATATGCGAGTGTGTATAGGTGTGTTTGCATGCAGCAAGTTTATATGTATATGCGAGTGTATATAGGTGTGTTTGCATGCAGCGTTTATGTATATACGAGTGTATAGGTGTGTTTGCATGCAGCGTTTATATGTATATGCGAGTGTGCATAGGTGTGTTTTTGCATGCAGCAAGTTTATATGTATGTGCGTGTGTTAATGTGAGTGTTTATGTGAGTATGTGGGTGTATATGCGTCAAGTTTATATGTATATACACAAGTTTCATCTATGTTGTTTTGAACATCCAGTAGTATAGGTGTATGCGAGTAAATTATGGGTGAATATACATGTGTTTTATGTATGTGTTTATAAGCAAAGTTTGATTTAAAACCTACACGGCACCTCATATTTTACGTACAATATGTATTACAGTTGACGAGTTCACTATATGCATAATGAGTTGTAACTACTCAATTATATAGGTACATTTGAGCTATAACACTTACTATAAATATTAGTATGGTAATTATTTATTTAATCGTTTATTCATTCATTCATTAGTCAATCAAACGTATTTGCATAATGACGGTTTCCTCTCCGATGTGACTGACAGCATCACAGATGAAACTGCAGACGTGTGTATGAACACTTGCTCATCATTATCACTTCCTGCACCTCAGGTGAGCAGCTCGACGCTTGTAACGACCTTTTCAAACTTCACGAGGATTTGAGAAACAGCCCATGGGCAGATTAGACTATTACAAGCAGAGGCTGACGTTGACATGAGTAGAACTCCAGGATAATCTTGTAGAGGTAATTCTGTTTATTCGTTTTATTATAAGTCTTGTAGAATGGGGATGAATGGAAACTTGGCTCTGTGATGTAAACTATTCTCATAACGTTACATATCGCTGATAAGTTATGAAGTTTTACACAGGTTTTATACTCTCAAAAAAGAAGAGGATGATGCCATACAAGAAAGCATTTTTGGGTTCCTTAATGTTTCATTCATCAGTTCTTCCCTTACCAAAACTGTGGTTTTGTTGCTTGTTTGTTTTGTTGTTGTACCTATTCTCACATACATACACAAGACGCATACACATTTAAAAAGAAAGTTTTGTAGATAAACCACAACCACAAATGAACCAAAGCTTTGCTTTAACCATTTTAACCATTGTATTTGTAGTAAAACTGTTGTTATACAACTGGCAATCAATAGACCAAAAGTGCATGGTTGCTGCTCTGTAACCAATAAAAGAATAACTCTTTTTTTATTACAGACCTGTAGACAGCCTATTGAAAGGGGTGGTTCCTTTATCTAAAAAGTGGACCTTTTTGCAGTTATTCACTTAATTTTCGATTAAATTTTATTTAATTTTGTGGTTCAAAGACTGCATTTTAGTGACATTTTAAGCACAGATTTTTGCTGGATAAAGTTGGATGGACATCATAACCACACTTTTTTATTGCAACAAAGATATTTCCTACATTCTTGTCAAAGTGCTTATCATACTATTTTACCTCAAAGTGTCCTTTTACAAATGTGCATTTAAACTGCACATTATTACAGTTTTATTAATAATCTAATGATTAGAATTTGAAATTGCAAATTTTGAACAAAGAATCATGAAAAATTTAAAATGCTCATTTTAAAAATACAAATGTATTATCATCCATCATTTAAAAAAAAAAACTATTAGGAATCAGTTTAAAACGTGTTTTAAATGAAAACAGGAGCTTGTTGGCAAATAAACTGGCCAGCTCATTTCCTCAGTCAGAATTTGTCCATTTCAATAATTAAAAATTTAATTCAAAGCCTTCTTCTGTTGGCTATTTTCACAATTTATGATGGCATACTCTCAAAAATAGAACAAATGAGTTCATATGGCAGCCAAATTGTGGACTTTGTCAGTAGGGGTTGGGTCTTTTGAACCTCCCGAACCCCCCTGGCTATAGGCCTGCATAAGATTTTCTTTTTCTTTTTGATGTGATGGACATTACAGTAATCTATACATTTTTTTTTTTTACTGTAACTAAACTTTTGTGATATGCAGCGCTATTAATTTTCTTCAACGATCCAGTTTGTCATAGCAAAACATGAATATATTGACATAGCCTACAGTCTTTAAAGTTTATCTAAGAGTCAGAATGTCTTAATGTGCTAAATGTGGCACCCTCATCTCAGTAAAGAACTAATAATTTGTCAACATTATAACAACATTACACATATTACACAAACATACCTTCTTATGCTGTATGAAATATGTGCAGTATTATTGAGAGTACTTTCATTGCAAGACATCAAAAATAAAGAATAAATACACTGACAACAATTTCATCAGCAGATTTATTAATAAAAAATAAAAATAAAATTAACAGGATACTAGTCACAATATAACCATAAACGTTACATTTTAAATGGAAAAAAATTAGATAAACAAAAAACATTAAAAATGTACAGAGGTTATTTTGCTAGCGCACTTTGTTAGCCTTAAGTTAAACAATTAATAAGTTAATCCACTAAAAAGTGGTTGTTTTTTGCGATTACTTTTGTTTTTGATTTATTATAAAACAACTGTAACTAAACTATGTTTTTTTTCCCTGTCATTTTATGTACACCCTAATCTCAACTCCCCAGTGACCATGAATGTAACCAGTCTACCAACTGCTCGATCAAACCACACAAGCAGTTGTGGACCACTTTACGATGAGGAAAACCCCCTTCCACTTGTGGCTCTCTACAGCACCGTCCTCACTGTAGGTCTGCCGGCAAACCTGATCACAGTCTTCCTCACGTTCCTCGAAGTGTGTCGGAAGAACGTTCTAGGAGTGTACCTCTTCAGCCTGACACTGTGTGACCTCATGTATCTCAGCACACTTCCACTGTGGGCCATTTACATCCACAGAGGCCATCGCTGGGAATGGGGCTCTCTGGCCTGCAAGATCACCGGATACGTGTTTTTCAATAACATGTATATCAGCATTTTCCTGATGTGCTGCGTTTCCGTTGACCGATTTGTGGCGGTGGTTTACGCCGTGGAGTCTCGAGGGTTGAGGAGAATGAGACATGCCGCGATCATCTCGGTTACAATCGTGGCAGTCGTTGCGATAGGACACGTGCCTGTTTTCACCATGACAGAGGGAAATTCCGAGAAAATATCGGAGAAGAGATGTTTCGAGCCGAGCAATCCTTCTTCTGTAGTGACAGGACTCAATTATGCTCGATTCTTTGTTGGTTTCTTCATCCCGTTGTGCATTTTAACTCTTACTAACTTTGCGATTCTTGTTAACGTTCAAGCAAGCGCTGGCCTGATGACGAAAACCAAAGTCAAAGTTCGCAATCTGGCTGTCGCTGTCGTTTTGTTCTTTTTGGTGTGCTTTACGCCATACCACGTGATTCTTCTGCTGCGTGCTGTCAATTTCCATGTTTCGGATGGGAAGTGTGACTTTGAGAGACATGTCTACACCCCGTACACCATCTCCTTGGGATTGTCTACTGTCAACAGCGCGTTGAATCCTGTTTTCTATGTTCTTGCTAGCAGTAGTGCACAGAAGAAGATATACAAGGGCTTGCAAGGGTTACGCAGCAGCTCAAGATCCTCTTCTTTAGCGTGATTTGTTGTTTCATGTTTTCGAATCGGACTTTCTATGGCATTCAAAACCAAGCATCACCAGCATTACAGGTACTCTGTGTTAAGAGTCTTAACGTTTTGTAGATGGATGTTATTGATGTTTTCGACGAAGGCCTGAATGATTGTTTTGAGGTAAAAAGAAATTCGAATTAGCTTATTGTTAGTGAATATCCCAACACCAACCTCGATATAACAAAATCAACATATAACTAATATTACATTTGTGAGAAAACAGCTGTGAAGAAAAGGTGCGCTGTGTGCTAAATGCTTAGTCTGGTCTGTTAATTCTTTCTGCTTTTGAGAGATTTGGTCAATGCAATGCTTTCAGTTCAAATTATTAATGAAACTTATGAAAATTGAGACACTGTAGGCAGCAACAGTGTTGTGGGGAAGCTGATATGTGCTTTAAGCATCCCGAATTTGAATGTCGTACCCTCTCTCTATCCACTTTTTAAGTCATGACGTATTGGTGACGTATGGAATACTGTTTCCAGGTCCAAGCCGCTACTCATCTGAATAGAGAAAATATTTGTTTATGACCACTTTTTAGTCACATCACACATTAAAGTGAATTTTATATCAAATTCTTTGGGCTTGCTGAATCTTGCTGAAATATCAAACTTTTAACAATTTAGAAAACATTCATCACTTTCTGGCCATCGTATATTATGCATGGACATATATATTGTGATTGTGATTTTTGAAAGTATTACAGCGCTTTGTAAATGTTTAGTGAAGCGCGAGGCACAATGTAGGGTGGTTAAATGTAACACAAAGTTTTAAGGCATTTACTCAGGGTTAATCATGGCATGCTTCTGAGTTTTTTTTTACCACAATTTCGGCAGAAGTCTTTCTGCCAATTATTGAAAAAGTTCACCGAAATTTGGATGAGAAACACAGGAGAAACTATTTTTGCAGCATAAAAGTTTTTTTTTTATTATACTCAATATTTTTTAATAAAAAAAAAAATCTGTGAAACTATGAACATAAAATATTTTATTGTTGTGACCACCGTCTTGATGAAACCATTTTGAAAGAAAGAAGAAAAATTTTCAAAGAAGTAAAAAACAGAGTGTCAGCTAGCCAGTTTTGAGGAAAACATGACACAGAGGGGTTAGTTGTAACAGGGTGTTACAATTAAGACACACACTGTTGCACACCAATTAAACTAACAAAATAATCTTTTGTAATTCGAGTGTAATGTTGAGAACTTTTTAAATAAAAATATTTTGAATAGAAAGAAATGAGCCAAATGAGTAAACAGACATTAAATTAACTGTGTGAAATCTGCTTTTGTAAGCAAGTGTTACAACTAGCCCCGTCTGTTACAACTTGCCCCGCAGGTGGGGTAGATAGTAACATTCTTACTCCTGGCACTTTTGCCAATCATAATTTCATTGCTCATTTGTAGGAGAGGCTTGAGTGCTGTTGGTAAAAAAAATGGTTTGTCTAACCTGAGCGCATACTCAAATGAACGATCACTCCCTGAGTCATACAAAAAGTTGTTCAAAATGAACAAATTGATCAAGAACGACCCATTACTATACCCGACATTAGACTGGCCATCTGGCAATTCCGGCAAATGCCAGAAGGGCCGGACCATTTTTTAAATGTGGGCCGTTCAGCTATTTTTATTTATTTTTTTCATATGTATTGTATTTTAAATGTAGGCAGCTTTTATCTTGTGCGAGATGTGAATATTATGATGATGATGTTGATAATAGTAAGAATAATAGTAAATGTTAAGCATTGGCCCAATCAGCAACAACCGAATGGTTTCAAGATGGGCCGACCCAATCTGAATTTGGCAAGAATGTAAAACAAACAGTTAGTGCAACACAAGCTAATTGTCAGAGATGGACCATAAAAAGAGAAAGGCAGTCAAGTCAGACATTGCCAATTACATAAAATTAACTGAACTAGTCTCGAAAGGGGGCAGTGCAGTGGCGTAATAGTTAGTGCTGTCGCCTCACAGCAAGTAAGTCGCTGGTTTGAGCCTCATCTGGGACAGTCGGTGTTTCTGTGAGGAGTTTGCATGTTCGCGTGGGTTTCCTTCTGGTTTCCTCCACAAGTCCAAACACATGCTATAGGTGAATTGGGTAGGCCAATTGGGAATTGGGTAACCCAGTAATGGGTTGCAGCTTTGAGGGCATCCGCTGTGTAAAACATGATAAGTTGCTGATTCCCAGATTAATAAAGGGACTAAGCCAAAAAAAAAGGAAATGAATGACATAATTGCATATATAAATGGGTTGTTTTTGTTTCAGTCATATACATTAAATGTTTAAATATCTCTAAAATATGGTACTGCTTATATAATTTTACCATCTGTACACCAATATAAGTAGTGAATGTGCGTGTCCTTGGGTGGGGCTGTATTGGTGTGGTAATGTGGGCTGGTGTGGCTACAATGCCAGGGCTGATTTTCAGTCCCAGTCCGCCCCTGCCCGACATGGAGGATCAAGCAATGCCTGTGTTTTATCAAAATCTGACTCCTCGGACAAATCTGACTCCCACTCGCGTACACGCGCGTCGCACAGCGCCTGCAGCTGTAACAGCAGTTTATCAGAAACCTTTTATCGGTCATTTCTTTCACAATTTACAGCAAGAACGAACGTAGAAGTCTTGTCAAATTGACAAGCAGCACCTAAATGTGTTCAAAATAATTAAAAATGCCAAAACGGGATTAATCAGTTCAGTATCAGTATCTGAAAGTGTTTTCTAAATTTGATCTATGTTCCTTTTCATAAATGTTATGTATTTTGTTTTTATACTGTGCTTCATGTCTGTAACACAATTTATGCTTCTTTTAACTCACTATATAAAAACTTCAAATAGGACTAAATAGTGGCCTCACATTGCAGGCTGTTCATTATTTTGATCAGTGTTCCATTTCAAATGTGTCATGTAATTTTATTTTATTAATATGTACCATGCTTTTTGTATGTAACACAAAATAAATAGTTAAAAAACTACTTTTACTTCAAATATATCTTCAAAAAGGACTGAGTAGCATCTCAAAATGAAGGAAATTGTATGGTGGGCTGTTCTCAAAGTTTATTCTCCACTACATGGGTCATCAAGCTCAGTCCTGCATTGTTGACAATGTCCTGCAGAATCAACAGTAACTTACTGTAAATCAATTACAGCAAAATATACTGTATTTACATTTACAGCACCATTTATCTTGCTGCATATGTATTTACAGAATTGTATGTACCTGTACACCTATACAGTAATAGTTTTACAGTGCAACTTTAAAATACAGTAACATACTGCAAAACCATCCCACAGTAAAATACAGCTCTTATTACAGTTAAATGCTGTATCATTTACAAAAACCGTTAACAGTATTATGCAATTTAACTCCAACAATAATCAAACACAGCTGATTTGGAATGACACTTCAACATGGTGGACACGATTATTGAAGTATCTTTCGGAGGGTGATATATCCCAACCGGAAAGCACTGATATTTGAAACTTGCAGTGTTTGTGAAAGTTAAAGCACCCGGCCGTTCAAGACCAAGACCTACTGACCCCTGCTCTACTATATGTTGGAGAATGCTGTTAAAGATTCATCCATACTTGTTTTATAATACTGAACTGTATTTTCCACCCAAAAGTCAATCCTAATCTTTAAGTGGAACAACTGATACAGATGTGAGTTCTCACTCAAACTCATACTATTGTAGGTACCCTTCAATTTTGTCTAGGCCAGTTTCATTAATCTGTTGAACCACAATACGAAAGCGATATCTAATAACTTTTCTGTTTATTTTCAGTAATTCTAGATAAATCGTGACTTTTTTTATGATTTTAGTTAGGGGGTTTTCTTTCTTCAATAGAAGGGCAAGATCTGCCTCTAACAATTGACAATGGTAAAAAAAAAATTGTTCTTGTCTGATTTTCATGCAATTCTTTGCTTTAATTCAAAGATTATATTGTGACTTTTCTGTTTGCTTGGTTCATATCTTATAGTGTGTTTCCAAAGACGTTTTTAACAATGACTTATTTCTCTCTCTCACTCTCATATTACGAAAACATTTCTACAATGAATAGGAACTAATGCACATTTATCATCATTTAGAGAACATCTTCTCTTCCACAAAATGACAATTAGTCTGAACAAACATTTAACCCTTGTAAGTCATTGTTAATCCACCTAACATTGGTTTCTTAATCTTTCTTAATTGAATACATTGGCATTGTGTTGTATAACATCAACAACAACAAAAATCTGTTAACAACAAAATAAATGACAGCGTAAATTCAGAGCAACGGAATTTAAGTGATCTCTTTTTTCCATATACAGTACTGAACGCAGCAGTCACAGTTTTAAGTTTGGTGTGAAATTGATTGCATGAAGCCACAGAAGGAAACATTTTTTTTTTTGGTTAGGAAGGTGCTGATGTGCAAAAAAAGAGGATGTCTGTCGGCTTGGAGGTGCAGTCGAGACATGTACATGCAGTAAGACACGTACTTACACAATCAACTTGTGTGGTTAATAAAGATCGTGTTTGTCTGGCTTAGTGTTACTTTTGTCTGGCTTAGACTTTTGAATACAAATCAGACGAGGACAAATATAGGGGCTTGATGATTAACTGCTCTTAAGGACAACCAGAAGTGAAATTTAATGTTGATCTTAGAAATCTGTATTATTATTACTATTAATATTATTATTATTATTATTATTATTAAAAAGATTTTTTTTATTCCAGCCAAACTAAAATAGATAAGAATTTCTTCAGAAGTAAAAAATATAATAGAAAATACACTACAATTAATTGCACTTTTGAAATATTTAAAAAGAACACAAATTTCACATGAAGGCTAATCATTTATGCAATTGTATATGCATAAAACAGCAAAACGTTTCCAAAGTAATACAAAGACAGCCCTGTGATGCTTTTTTTCGTCAGATGGTGTGTATAATCAGTGAGCTCTCTCTGTTTCACACTTCATTGCGGTGAAGGCTTTGAGCATGAGAACGGAAGTTGTAAATGTACCTTTTGTGACCTTTAACAGTTTTTGAACTTCCCATTTGTTCAGCAGAGCTGCTTCTGTTTTGTGTTTGAACTCAAGCAGACTGAATGACAGGAAGTGTGGCAGAGTCAGTGTACGTTTGAGCACCAGGAGAGTCACATAAAGCTAATTGTTTTAAGTCATTGGAAAAGTATCTGATTGCAAATTCAACCAGGCATCCAAAAAGATTAAAGGGCACCTATTTGGCCCCTTTTTTAGGATTTAAGATAAGTCTTTTGTGTCTCATGAATGTGTCTGTAATATCTCAGCTCAGAATACCCATTAGATTATTAATGATATCTTTCAGAACATTACAATTTCCAGCTCTAAACACTATGTAGTTGTTTTTGTTGCCTGTGCCTTTAATGTTAGTTCTCCTCGCCCACCGTTCCCAAGTGCCTGTCAGTGTAACGGGGAGTGACACACAACAGAAGTTTGGATCTAAATGCAGGTTTAATCAGTGGCCAGGAAAGCAATGGTCAATACAGGTGCAAACAGATATTTGAAGACAATCCAGAATCGTAGTCAAAGTAACAGGCGAGTGGTCAGAAGGCAGGCGGCAGACTAAGACGAAAAGGCTAACAAGGATAGGGTCAAAACACAAGAAAACAAGACTAGGAAAATGTTAGGGATGGCTGACGTGAAACTGACGTTTTGACACAGTGTCGAGATCCCGAAGCGCAAGTGTTTTGAAACACTGCACCGAAGCATGATCCGAAACAACCAGGTCACGTGACTACAGTGTTTCTAAACACTTGGTCACGTGACTAAAGCGATTCAAAGCATTGATAATTTCAGAGGCGTTTCAAGACCCGGAGAATCTGCATTTGACTGACATGACCAACACAAGTTTCTGTCTTGTATGGCCTAGTGGACCGTGCGTGTGCACGCTGGTACTGTGGTTCAAATTAATTTTGGGTTTGAATCCCGACTAGTACAAATACTCCAAAATCATGATTTTATGTATTTTAATCATGTTACTGTTTTATGGTGTAGTCTAGATAGGATACAGCTGCGGATACACCATCAATTTAGCATCATTTTTGTAACACAGTAAAACAATAATTAATATTTTTACAGTACTGTGATGGGTTTAGGTTTTGGATAGACGTTAATAAAATACAACGGGAAATTTAATTAATAATATAAATATTTATTGTTAACTTCTGGCCACAACTGTATCTGATCTAGCAACAACCCTGTTTTATGAACAAAACAATACAAATGTATTTACAAGGTGTTTATTTGGATGTCAGAGCAATGTTGAAACAAAACAATACAAGAACAGAGCATTACCAACTGGTATTAAAGCATTTCAAAATAATTGTATCAGTCTGGATTCGAGCCCATTATTCTCACATGGTGGTCACGAACTCGAAACGCTCGACTAAACCATTTGCAGATTCAAAGCTACAAAGTGGGGTTTCATACCTCAATTTGCTCAACTGTTCTTTGCTGAAGCGGTTTCAGTAAAATACAAATAAAATGACCTCAAGGTGTCACCGTAGAGTGGTGTTTCGAAACGTTTTGAAGCTTCGACACATTTGCTTCGATGGTTTCAGTGTTTCATGAAGCCTCGCTTTGCCCACCACTAGAAAATGCATTGTAGTGTTACTATACAGATAACAAGACTCGACAATGTGAATGAGTGTGTGTGCTGCTTAAATAGTGTGTGTAATCAGTCTTTGACAATCCTCAGGTGGTGCGAGTGTAATCAGTCTAAATGAGGAAGCAGGTGTGTGTGGGCGAAGTGCATGTATGCAGTTGTAGTCCATAAACTGGCGGATTTGTAGTTAGAATGAGAGATAATGTTTTTCAGCGACCTCTGGTGGTTAGAGGTTGCTGGTGATTGTGACAGACAGAGTGTGTCTCAATCTCTGCCTTGGGTGCGTCTGATAAACAGCACAGAGACAGACATGAGGGAAGCAGATCACAAGTAACGTTTGTAAGAAATACACCAGTATGAATCGTCCCAATGGTTATTTAATGTATTCATTGTAGAGTTAATTCAAGCCTTTCTGCATTGATGAGTCGCACACAATGTCGTTACAAAGTTCACACGCATACAAACAGCGTGCACATTTAACTTTGCACTATTTTTGCATGGCAAATGTGACAGGATACACGGCAATATCCCCTGATTTAAGTCCACAAACCAGGTTTGAAGTGTCTTCTTTTATAATTGTACTGACATGCAACTGTGGTAAAGTAAAGATGGTAAAATCGATGTAATTTATTACAAACATGCACTGTTTTAAAAAACGTTTTAAACACTGCAAACTGTACAGATCTTTTAATGTCAGTTGCTTTGTGCATGTCCTGTCTCGTTGATATGATTATACACGTTACTACAGAGACATGTTAATACATGTCTGTCAATCGAATCGGTGGGCAGGGAAGCTGCACTTCTACGTCACTTTGGGCCTCAAAATTCGAGGGATTTGGATCCTATTTAACATCAGGAAATAAAAAACAAAAAAACAAAGAATCTTACTGTCTTTTTATTACTTCAATATGGCTGTGGACACACTATACCTACACACAGTTCTATCCAAAGATGATTTTCATCATAGGTGCCCTTTAAATTAGTTAACAAAAAAAGTGGAAATGTCTGCGTACAACAACATTGTCAAAATGGTCTCATTTTACACAGATCTGCAAAAACAATGCTAAAAATGCTTTATTAGGTGTGCCACATTGTAAAGAAGTAATACATATCAGATACTGCAAGCATATCATTTTCAAAAACCTGTCCTTCAAAGGCTTGCATTTTCAGTTTTCTTCATTTTGTCACGTCCGTTATGTTGTCAAAAATGGTATTAAGTTAGCTCTACATTGAAATTAGCCATATGAGACTTCAGGTCTTGTATAAATAAAAAATATATATATTTTTTAGACTCCTTCACAATTTATAAACAAGTTGAATAATTGCCATGCCGCAATAATATTGTTAAAGGGCTTGCATTTTTTATTACATTTGAGTAACTGTCTTAATCTTTGTTTTAAAAGGCAAATATCTCTAAAACAATTCAATCTGTATAATCATGTATTTAAATATCTCCAATATATTATTAACATAATATACATTCAAACGTTTCCGTTCATAGTTTCAATTTCTCAGGTCACAACAAAATAGTGCATGCAGGCAGCAGCAGCAGCAAGCTTCTTCATTGTCTTATCATTAGGCATTTGTTAGTTCTGTTCTATTAGTGGCAAAGTGTGTTTGTCAAGTAACATTTCCCTCCTGAGCTTGTGTGCGTAGCGATACAATCCAGTGTGTTTTTCAAGCATGTTTGTAACAGGTTTACCTGGATTTATTTGTACTTGTTTGCATATACATTAAAGAAAGCAGGGACTGTATGTTATGTTTGGTAAAGAGACCAAAACATAAAATTCAGTCCTTTTAACCTGTATGATTTTCCTAGAAATGTTGATGATTATACTAAAAACTCTTGACAGTGACAGAAAGTTTATGTGTGGCTTATTTTATTTTAATTTTTTTTTACTAGAAATTCAGTCTTTTGAGTGTAACAGTGTGACTCCTGTGTGTGTGTGTGTGTGTGTGTGTGTGTGAAGTTAATTACTGCAGAGGATCATTGTTGTGCTTGTTCAGGTTCATGTTAAGCCAGTGACGTGAGACCTGATAAAAGAATCCTGGAGCATTACGGCAGTTTGATGATGGCATCAGCTAAAAAACAAAAAAACAAACAATTGTTGTCGATAAATTGTCAAAAAATAAAATAAAAAATCAGCATGGCTGACTTTATTCTTTGAATCAAGTGAAGAATTGATTGAAAAGACGAAGAAAGGATTGAATGAATGAAGGTAGGAAGAATTAATTGAATGAAGAATGAATTACATACATGAAGGAAGGAAAAATTGAATTAAGGAAGGATTGAAGAATTGAAGGAAGAATTGAATAAATGAAGGAAGAATTGAATAAATGAAGGAAGGATTTAATATAGAATTGAATAAATGAAGGAAGGAAGAATTTAATAAATGAAGGAAGAATTGAATAAATGAAGGAAGGATTTAATATAGAATTGAATAGATGAAGGAAGGAAGAATTTAATAAATGAAGGAAGCATTGAATCAATGAAGGAAGGATTGAATGAAGAATTGAATTAATGAAGGAAGGGTTTAATAAATGATGGAAGAATTGCATAAATGAAGGAAGGATTGAATGAATGAAGGAATAAAAGGTTTGAATGAAGGACAAAAGGAAGGATTGAATTAATGAAGGAAGGTTTGAATGAAGGATTGAATGAATGAAGGATTAAATTAATGAATGAAGAATTGCATAAATGAAGGAAAGATTGAATGAATGAATGAATGAATGAATGAATGAAGGAAGAAAGGAAAGAAGGAAGGAGACATTGCATAAATGAAGGAAAGATTGAATATATAATTGAATAAATGAAGGAAGAATTTAGTAAATGAAGAAAGTATTAAATAAAGAATTTAATAAATGAAGGAAGGATTGAATGAAGGGTTAAATGAATGAATGAAGGAAGAATTGCATAAATGAAGGAAGGATTGAATGAATGAAGGAAGGATTGAATGAAGGATTGAATAAATGAAGGATTAAATTAATGAATGAAGAATTGCATAAATGAAGGAAAGATTGAATGAATGAATGAAGGAAAGAAGGAAGGAGAAATTGCATAAATGAAGGAAAGATTAAATATATAATTGAATAAATGAAGAAAGGATTGAATCAATGAAGGAAGGATTGAATGAAGAATTTAATAAATGAAGGAAGGAAGGATTGAATGAAGGAAGGGTTAAATGAATGAATGAAGAAAGAATTGCATAAATAAAGGAAGGATTGAATGAATGAAGGAATAAATGATTGAATGAAGGACAAAAGGAAGGATTGAATTAATCAAGAAAGGATTGAATGAAGGATTGAATAAATGAAGGATTAAATTAATGAATGAAGAATTGCATAAATGAAGGAAAGATTGAATGAATGAATGAAGGAAGGAAGGAAGGAAGGAAAGGAGAAATTGCATAAATGAAGGAAAGATTGAATATATAATTGAATAAATGAAGGAAGGAAGAATTTAATAAATGAAGGAAGGATTAAATGAAGAATTTAATGAATGAAAGAAGGGTTAAATGAATGAATGAAGGAAGAATTGCATAATTGAAGGAAGGATTGAATGAAGGACGAAAGGAAGGATTGAATTAATAAAGGAAAGATTGAATGAAGGATTGAATAAATAAAGGATTAAATTAATGAATGAAGAATTGCATAAATGAAGGAAAGATTGAATGAATGAATGAATGAATGAATGAAGGAAGGAAGGAAGGAAGGAAGGAAGGAAGGAAGGAAGGAAAGAAGGAAGGAAGAAGGGAAGGACGGAAGAAAGAATTGCGTGAAGGAAGGAAAGATTGAATGAAGGATGGAAGGAAGGACTGAATAATTGAATGAAGGATTAATTAAATAAATAAAAGAAGGATTAAATGAAGGATTGCATGACTGAAGGAAAGATTGGAATGAAGGAAGGATGAATTGAATAAATGAAGGAAAGACTGAATGAAGGATTGCATGAATGAAGGAATAAAGGATTGAATGGAGAAATGAATGAATGAAAAAGGTAAGAACTGAATAAATGAAGGAGGGATTGAATGAATGAAGGAAGGATTGAATGAAGAAAAAAAGGAAGGAAGAATGAAAGAAAGAAGGATTGAATGAATGAATGAATGAATGAATGAATGAATGAAGGAAGGAAGGAAGGAAGGATTAAAGGAAAGACTGCATGAACAAAGGAAGGTAGGAAAGAAGGGATGTATGTATGGATGCTCACAAACACAAAACATTGCCAAAAGGTTTGGGCCATCTGCCTTTACATGCACATAAACTTTAATGACATCAAAGGCCATGTCCACACATATATGGGTATTTTTATAAAGTTTCCCCTTAAAATAATCTCTATCCACAAGAAAACTCAATAACACACGATGATGCATTTTAAGGGCACGTCGAACCAACAGGAAGCGATAAAAGCCTTTTATGCCACGTTCACAGCAAATGCGGAGTTAAGAACGACAATGAATATGCATTTGCCTCAATCTTCTGTGTTTGGAGTAAACCCATCTGTGTTTGGGCAATAAGAATAATAATAAAAAAAAAATTTAAAAAAAAAACTGACATCAAGGAAGAAAGTCCAGTTGTAGTGTATACACACCCACACTTTCTTATATGGACTTTCTTATAATGGACTTTCTTATAATCTTCACCCTGAGCTGAGATTTCGGAAAGTTTCAGTTTCAGTCAACTGAATGCATTTTAGTGTGGATAAACATCCAAATCGCATGGGGAAAAAATGATTTTGAAAATACCCATGTTCGTGTGGCCAGGGCCTAAATCTTAAACCACAGGGTTAAAAATAGAGTTTCCTCACCCTGTGTAGTTACTAGAGCTTCAACTATGAAAAATCTGAAAATCCTGTATTGTGAACTGGGCATCAGTAGAAGCAATGAATGGAATACCTCAACTCAATGATTTGGAGAGGGGTCCCAAAACTTTTGGCATACACATAAATTACACACCAACCTTAGTTTGAATAAGCGCACCGGGACGGTCTTCCTGTACCTCTAGTTCAAGATCTCGAAGAGTGTTGGTCTGACACAAAAGAAGGTTGCTTTATTAAAACACCACAAGAGTCTGAATATGTAGCAACACACCTCTTTTTTTAACAGGCCACATAAAATATGATTTATATAATGTCTTTAGTCAGTCTTTACCCACCTGTGCATGAGTGTTTGCGTCAGGCTGTCTGAGCTGCAGTGTTTTTAGCAGTGCTTCCTGGGAGTGTAGTTTGGGTTTGGGACCTGACAATCTTAGCATTTTTGACCCAGACTGTAAATGACACCAGAAACTTGCAGCTTCACTGATGGAGAAAAGAGAGACTTTTCAAAATCACAGACACTCCATCGAAACTGCATGAGTCTAGTTCACAGATGACAAAATAAACCACATTTCACTGTGCCAAATTACTGTCGATACATTAAGAAGTCATGCTCTTAAAAATGTATTCTGTCGTTGGTTTTATAGTGTAGTAAAACTAATACCATCATTCAGTTTAAAGACTTAATATAATAGAATTTAATGTCTCAGTCAGCGATATTTTAGTATGATTAACATGCAATTATATGGTTTTATTTTTATTTATTTTCAATTTGTTTTCACTTTAGTTTTTGTTATTTTTATTTGTCACTTATATAACTAACATGCATATGATCATTATATTTTTATTGAGTAGTCTTAGCTATTTTAGAACTTAACACTGAGAAAGATAATTGGCTAAAATTGTTTCCTTTGGTGATGCGGTAGTGCAGTAGGTAGTGCAGTCGCCTCACAGCAAGAAGGTCCCTGGTTTGAGTATTAGCTGGGTCAGTTGGCGTTTCTGTGTGGAGTTGGCAGTTTACATTCTCCGGGTGCTCCGGTTTCCCCCACAGCCCAAAGACATGTGGTACAGGTGAATTGGGTAAGCTAAACTGTCTGTAGTGTAGGAGTTTAAATGAGTGTGTTTGGATGTTTCCCAGAGATGGGTTGCAGCTTGAAGGGCATCCGCTGCATAAAACGTGCTGGATAAGTTGGCGGATCATTCAGTTGTGGCGACCCTGGATTATTAAAGGGACTAAGCCGAAAAGATAATGAATGAATCAATGTATTTCTTTTACATAATTTGAAAGTCATCTGAACATACCTTGACAAAAAAATCTGATATAAAGCTTTAACAAAAATACTTTTTCTACTAATACTACTACTACTGATAATAATAATAATAATGATAATAATAATAATAATAATAATAATAATAATAATAATAATCATGATATTTGGCAGGTTCTAAAAGAATTTAACCAGCTGTATTTATGATTTAAATATGTACCTTGTGGGAGTCTATCATTTATTATGTATATGTGTATATATAAATGTTCTAAATACTATTTCAACTCATGTTACTGTTTGATATACTGTACATTCTATCTGTTTCTTGGAGGTATACTCCATAGATTCTGTTTTAAAGAGCCCATATTATGGGTTTTTGAAAATGCCCTTCCATGTAGCGTGTAACAGATCTAAGTGAAGTGAAATTTCCTTTCTTAGGCTTAAATCTGTTAGTGTACATTGTTTAAAACTGTTGATTCATCTATAAAAGAGTCGACTCATAGTACTTCAAACAAGTCGTCTTGATAACGAGTCATTAGGTGTTTCGCCATGACGTTATAACGAAACCAAGTTATTCACGTGCACTCGCAAACCTGGGAGATTTGAAACCTGCGGCCCCGCCCTCTAACACAGAAACACACACACAAACACACACACACAAACATGCCGGTTGATTGAAGTCACACTGCAGATGGATATTATTGAGTCTCTACCCAAAGATGAAACCTCAGCATTAGCCCAGCCTTGAGCAGTTGGAAACTACTGGAAACTTCTGGAAACTACATGCTACAAAGAAGACTTCATTGCCTGTTTGTTAAAGGAAGAATCAGTAAAGTGTACGTGCGATTAAAGTTGTTGCCTCGTTTACTCTAGCTTGCAAATGTATTTAGTTGTGATTTGTTACTTGTAACCCCGTGTACTGTATCAGGTTAACTCGCTATATTCTCATGTCGCATGCAAAGCTACGTTAAAAACGCGACGCATGCCGCTTTGTTTACGTTCCTTGGAGGAGGGTAATATGTGTGTGTGTGTGTGTGTGTGTGTGTGTGTGTGCGCGCGCGTTGTCATCCGGAGGAGGGTTATATGTCTGTCTGTCTGTGTGTGTGTGTGCGTTGTCATCCGGAGGAGGGTTATGTGTGTGCGTGTGTGCGCGTGTGTGCGTACATTGTCGTCTGGAGGAGGGTTATGTGTGTGCGTGTGTGTGTGTGTGTGAGTGTGTGCGCGCGTATACGTACGTTGTCGTCCGGAGGAGGATTGTGTGTCTGTGTGTGTGCGCGGACGAGGGCAATGTGTGTATGTTTGTGTGTGTCTGTGAAAAGAGCAGAGTGTGACAAGCTTGGAGATCTCATCGCCAGTTCTTGGAGTTTTTGCTCAATAAAATAGGTAGTCGTCTGTATTTTCAAGTTCATCGTCTGTATTTACATTCACCCACTGGCAGCTAAAATCCACGCCTTACACTATGAAGCGTGTATGCACTGTGAATACTTTTATAATGTTGATTAGCCGCTGGGCATTTCACTCTGTCTCGCGCTGAAGGCAGTCAGTGTCGACCAATCGCAACAGGCTGTCAGCGGTCCAATCAGCGCAGATTAGCTTCGCGCTAAGGAGGGGTTTGGGAACAAATGAATCACTGGACGGTTCATATGGGAGTCGCTGGGATAATTAGGTAAAAATAAATGCAGATTATGAGACCATGAAAATATTTTTTGACCTTGCATGCATATTAGACTGTTGTTGGAGACCCTTACAACCAAGATATGACCCTATTTCATGTATAACATGGGCTCTTTAAAATATTATTTATTTATCTGCAATGAAAGAAATTCATCTATTCTCTATTTTTAAATGTTATATTTAGCAATGCTTTACAGCAACTAAGAATGATGCTAATCTGACAGTGAAGACTTCTAGACTTGTACCTTGTTATTGCAGCAGACTGAGAGAGCATGTCTGTGGTGTGTTCTGGCAGCAGGGATAGTGTGGGAATTTCCATCACAACAGGATCTTTTTCTGCCTTCTCAACTTGAAAGCAGTTGTTAAAAACGAACCAGGGGTTTACCTCATCACCATTATCAGCCTGTAAAACCACAGCGTTAAATATCACAATAACAACAAGCAGAGGCGTCACTTCCTATATAGTTAAAAAAACAAACTATATATTTCAAAATATACAAAAAAAATGAAAATAAATTACATTTTAAATAAAATAATAGAAGTTTGTCAATAATAAATAAATATACATACTAATGAAGTCCAAATTTGTAGCTCTCCTGTAAAATTGTAATTCTTTTTTCAAATATCTCCCAAGAGCCATTTAATGGAGACAATTTTAACACCCTTTTAACCATAATAGTTATAATAATTTCTAATGACTAATTTATTTTTCTTTGCTAGGATGACAGTACATTATATTTTTCTAGTTATTTTCCAAGGTACTAGTATTCAGCTTAAAGTGCAATTTAAAGGCTTAACTAAGGTAATTAGGTTAGTCCGGGCCGTTAAGTTAATTAGACAAGTCATTGAACAACAGTGGTTTGTTCTGTAGCAAATCAAAAATATATCTTAAGAGGACTAATAATAATTTACTTTACTTTTATTTTTTTTTTAATAACACAGATTTAATTTCAGCCAAACTTAAACAAGAAATTCTCTAAAAATGTCTTGTTAAAGAACTAAATTCTCTAAAAGAAATAAAAAAGTACAATAAAAATACTTAGAAAACTACTTGCATCGATAAACAAAGAATAGAAAGAAGAAAAAAAATCACAGGAGGACTAATAATTTTGCCTTCAACTAACTTTCTATATTTATATTTCACATTATATAATAAAATGTTTGATATCTAAAACATTTCATCTTTAACCTTTTATTATAAATAATTGACACATTATCAGAAATGTCTCTATCAGAAATGCATTTTCTTGACCCTGAAACACACATTTACATATGTTAGTATATGGTGTTTTAGCCTAAAAGATAAACTATATTTTAACTGTGTGTGCATTACAGTTTTTCGCAGTCGCTTACATTTCTATCAGGTGAATCTTGACTTTTTCTAATGAAGGTGCTTCTGAAAGGAGATTTGACTGTCTTATCCGTACACAATGACATAAGGACTTATCATTCTGGTGACACTGACCCCTTCACTGACAAAAAAAGTCATGAACTAAGGATTTTAGGCAAGAGACTGGCTTTTGCAGGTAATCCATGGTGTTTTGTTATTTGTACATGTTGTTCTGATAAATTAACTAACAGTTCAAATTTAAACTCTGATCTGAGAAATGCACCAAAGCCCCTGAGAAAAACTGTTAATAATAAACCACAGAACAAAAATGCAAAACTACACAACATACATTTTCATGACGGCTGAAAGTTCCTGTTTCCGCCAAAGGCATTGTTGAAAAGTCCTCCTTCCCGGTGTTATCATGAAATCCAGCCCAGTCTGAAAACTCATTGTTATTTTTCTGGGTTTCTGTCCAGTCTGCAGAGCTAAATGAGGCCCAGTTGTCAAACCCTTCACAACTCTGAAACCCATCTTCTTCATAGCGGTCCAACACACACTCTCCCATTACACACAACAACGTAATGCAGTCAAACCTCAGGGCCCGTTACTCTTCTGTCTACATCTATTTGTTCTTTTAAGCTGCAGCTGATTCAGCAGGAGTCGATATGCCTCTGTAATGACCTAAATTCTGTTGTTGTCGTCTGTGTAGTTTGTTCTCTGCTGTCCCAAAGGAGGCAGTGATTGTGATCCCATTGTGTTTCAGAGGCAGATTTGAGGACACGCGCTTCCTTTTTAAACAAATTTCCTCCACTGCTTGGCTTCAATGTTTAGGGACAAGGCCAAAGAATCTGAAAAGTGAAACAAATTGATAATGCCTGCAGGACATAACTGTACTTTTTATTTATAGAAGTCAAGTTTAAAATTTAAATGAACATTTGAAACAATACCAGTCAAAAGTGTGGGGGCAGTTTATTTTTTATTCTGTTGATCGAGGTGGCATTTATTAAAAGTAAAAAAAAAAAAGAATTGTTAAACATTTTAAAAAATATAATAATAAAAAATAAATAACTGCTTTATTATTGTATGTAGTTTCTAATTAAATTATCATTCCAGTCATTATTGCTTTTATTACTATTACCATTAATAATAATAATGATAATAAAGAAAAATAAATTACTATTACATAATATATATATATATATATATATATATATATATATATATATATATATAAATATATATATATATATATATATATATAAACATACACAAATTGTTTGACTTTACATTTCATGTGTTCCTTGGAATAAATGTCCTTTTCTAAATACACTATTACAATTTAATATTCCCTATCTTGTGTGTCATGTGACAATAACCGTTTCAAGGTATACCACAGTTTGGAAAACCGCTAAAATTTTCTGCTTCACGATTACTAAGATATGTGTACGATTTTTTTATTAAGTTTTATTTTTTAGTTTTTTAGGACAACAGTATCTCCTGCAGAAAACATATCCAAAGATGCCGTTTAAATTGTAAAGAAATATATTTTTTAGACAAATGAAGACAGCAGAATTATTTAGCCTTACATGTTTATAGCTCAAGAATATTTTAAATGTACAATACCGTGAAACTGTGATATTTTTATTCAAGGTTATCATACTGTCATAATCTTATACCGGCCCATGCCTAGTGTCAAACAAACAAATAAATAGGCTAAAGTAAAACAAAACACATTTTATGGATATTCAATATACTTACATATTATATATTTAAAATACTACTTTAAGATGTTGTTGGTGTCAAATCATAATTACTTTCACCCTTTCCAAATTCATGCTCAATATGTAAAACAAATTCTGTTTCAACTATTTTGTTATATTTATTATTTTAACACCATGTCAGCAACTATTATCTACCTTCAAAATATTTTAACCAATAAGTTACATCTATATACATTTGTTATAATCATTATACTTTGTAAACGTAAAAAAAGAATATATATATATATATATATATATATATATATATATATAAAAAACATCAACAATGCGTTCTTAATGATCTATTTCTATAAATCAAAGAAAATCTTTCTTTCCATAACAATATTAATTCCTGTGTTGGTCGATAGACAGGAGTGGGTCTCTTGAGTCATAAGAGACTACAAAATATTGTCTGTTAAGACAAATATATGATCATAAATCTGTCAAGTATCGACAGTTGTGTCGTTTAAAGCAAAGTACAGTAGAGGTGAGATTAAAAGATGATCAGGTAAATACATGTTTGTCAAACACTCGTTAAGCCGCGTATAACAAAGTAACACGCCAATAAAAGGACAATATTTCACTTACCTCATAAACGAAGAGCAACAGGTAAATTAAATAGTTTGAAAGCTGATTATAGATTATCCACGTCGCGCTTCCGCAATTTTCTGCCGACGGTCTGACGTTATATAAACAGGAGAAGCAAGCAATGCAAGTACCTGTGCTGTACCTCGGACAACACGCCCAAGACCAGCACGTGCTTGTCGTTTTGACTACAAAAATCTCGCGAGATTATGGGATATGTAAGGCGATTGACAAAATAGCAAGCATACAATGTAAATTTAACGACATAAGGATTTTCTGGGTGGATGTGAAAAATTTTCTTAGAAGGAAAAAAAAATATTGTATTCAAGTTACATAATTTTGAAATTTCCGCTTATTACAATACATGTAAAAAAAAAAAAAAAAAAAAAAAAAAAATATATATATATATATATATATATATATATATATATATATATATATATATATATATATATATAGTACAACTTTTTATATTATAGATACAATTTTCATATTCAAAATTGACTGGATCAAAGACAAATTTTGTTCACTTCCTTCAAGAGGCTAAGTACTACTGCACAAGTTTGGAAAACGTTGTTAATAAAAAAAGCAAAGACTTGTAATATTCTTAAGGAATATAAGATTTTTAATTACTAAATGTTTTTTATGTACACTCTGGCATATCTTTTTGTATATTACTGTATTTGTTGTTAATATTAACAGTAAAAAAGTAAATATAATGAGATGTACAAAGAAATAATTAAATTACATTTTCCAATGAGACTTGGTAATAAAAAGCATTAGCAAGTATATTTTTTATTCTGCAAACACAACTTCGCCTTTGATTTACGCATGATGTTTATTAATATTGTGCAGCCCTAAACACTTTAAATTATAAGTATAGAGTATAATCCACATATCGTGTTGCATGTTCTACATTCACTTTTGATTATCTTAATTTAGAATTACTGACTTTGTATATTTAGCATTTTACTAAACTAATCTGTAAACAAACTCATTCCAGAGTTAGTAGATTCAAGACTGGTAACAATTAATGTTTATACAATATCACAGTTTCATTTTAATACAGTTTCATTAAAAATAATATCATAACTTTCTGCAATCATCAGTTTGAAAAGAGACTCAAGTTCAGAAACAAAGTTTAGACAAACTGGAGAAGGCACACAATTTAACCTTCACCGGCGCTATTGGATTCGGTCATCGGCTGATATTGATCCATGATAAACGACGAGCCCATATTTCCCACAAAAAATAAACACCACTAAATTTACAAAAAAATAATATGGTGAAAGTAGATGTAATGCAGGGTTCGGTCCTGGAGGTCTGGTGTCCTGCAGATTTTAGCTCCAACCCTAATCAGACACACCTGGGCTAGCTAATCAAGCTCTTAGCCTACTAGGCTTTCTTGAAACATAATTGCTGGTGTGCTGAGGCAAGTTGGAGCTAAAATCTTCAGGAAACCGGACCCCCAGGACCAAGTTTGAGAACCCCTGAGGTAGAGTGAACACTAGCTGATTAAGTACTTGCTCAAATTATTTTTAGATTATTAGTTAATTTCCGTGTGAAGGAAAAAAACTTTACTATGTTTAATTAATCGTTGTTCCTAACACATATTCACTTCAGGAAAAAATAGCATGGAGTTCTGGTGGTTAAAGAAGCTGATACCATGGAAAATATTAACACAGCAGATGACAATCTCACTGAGGAGCAGGAGGATGAGATCTTATCTTCTTCCAGATTGCCTAGTAAGGTGCTTTGACACATTAACACATCAGCACTTTAACTGCATGTGATATGAAATCACACGTACGCCTATCACCATGCTAAACCAGCAGCATTCCTAGATCACCATTACACCTACAGGTTTGTAGAGCAGGCACTTCACCCACTTCTCCTCTTCCCCTGATGTGCCATCGCTCTGGAACAGGGTAAATCTACACTCAAACCACATGATCTTATTCCTTTACTCTAGCGTTCAATCTCTATGCTCCCAAGCAACTTACAATTCACAAAGCGTTTCTTAATTCTGAATGTAAACAGAGCAAATAATTCTCAAAGATCACAGAAAATAATAGAAATGAAGAATCCCTTTATTACAGATAATGTTTAGTTTATTACAATGGTCAGACATTTATTTAGGACAAAGATGTGCAAAGGTTTAGTACAGCATCTAAACATCTAAACTCAGCCCAACACCCACATGCCGGTCAGCTATTAAACCTGTGGCCAGAAAAATAGAGGGGATTCCTCTAAAATATATTAAAAAAGCATTATTTTTGAGTGGCTAGAGATGATGACAGAGGTCTTAGAGTTATCCTGCAAGTGCATTTAATAATAAGTTTGAGCACGTGGTTTTAGTAACTGCGACCGAACAGCGTGTAGTATTGAGCGGGCTCTTTGCCGCTGACACACATCTGACCGGCCTGGAGATTCTTTAAGGGTTTGAAGGGGATACACAGACTCTTGGCTCCCATTGAAGGAGCACCAGGCTCCAGGTCTTGATCCCTGAAGGCACAGGAAATAAAGAGTGCGTTAAAGGTAACATCTTTTTCTTTCCGTTTTGTCCTTCTGCTCACATGGAGACGGGGAAGAACAAAGCATTTTGAAAACACTTTCCACAGTGGATAAATTTGATATTACATTTGTTAACGTATATAACTGATACTAACACCAACAATTTATTTCACACAGAATTGATAAACAGAGATAATAAATTGTTTTTATAAAGTACAATCTATAAAATAAAATAAAAAAATACCATGGTTACTATTTTTGGATCTATACTACAACATAGCTGACTTTAAGGCATGAGTATCATTAAGGTTTTAACAGTATTACTACTTTCAGGACTCATACACATTTTTACTACAAAAATGTTATGCCTTTTCCTGGACTTTCAAGTCAATTTTCATGACCTAATGTTTAATACAATGTCGACATAAAGATGGTAAATCATAAGAAAAACTATGAGCGTTCAAATTTATTACAGCATATGATAAAACACGCAATAATCACTTTAGTTTAAATTGATTTTTATATTTATGTAAAAATAGATGCTTACACAGCACTAATGATGTGAGATCATGTTTTTGGCCAAGAAAAAAAGTAAAAACAACTAACCTTCATTCCAATATACAGATATTTCTCAAACTAATTTTAGATAATCTTAATAGTTTGTTAAACTAGTAATAATAAGCAAAACGACTTTTATTGTAAAGCCGCAATCACATTGAACTTTCGCTTCATAGACTTTTATTCATAGGCATGCGAATGCAGCAGACCAGAAACGCAAGCACGTGCGACATGTTTCGCATTTCACTGCATTCGTAAGTTCAAGCTTGGTGAATTCTTACCAGTGAAATCGCATCACGTGATTGCGTTAGACCAATAAAAGATCATTTTGAACAAGAAATTTAAAATATGGAGCAATCATATTTTCATATTTCAGCCCCTTTTCACATACGACAGAATTTTGTAGCACAAGCTCTAGTGTGGCCGCAGCTTAAGTCACTTTGGACAAAAACGTCTGCTAAATGACTAAATGTAAATATACTTTCCATGACGTTTTCAAAGCCTTGTGGGTTTTTCTGTTTTTCCAAAACAGAATATAGCCTATCTGAGTTACAAAATGCAGTTAAACAATCAGTTGTGGTTAATGTTTATGATTTATCATTAACACATTCACATAAACAAGTTAACTTTGTTTGGGATTAAAAGTAATACAGTTTTGAAGCTTGCAATGTAAAAATAAGCTGTTTTATCATTTTTAATGAGTATAGTTTATAATTTATCATTTATTGGAAATTCAGTGATGTAAAAGCATTTTTAATGTTCAAGATTTATTTAACCGAATGAGTGAGTTTATTAAACTATTAATATTATCCTAATTTAGAGAGACCTTATGTGATTGACTGCTAGCATACAGATGTGGATGATGTAAAGTTAGTAGCCAAGCATTCAAAGCCTTTGCATTTGCCTGTCTGCAGGGCATTGTCTGTGTTTACTCAGGGATATACAACCATATTCTTGACCGTTAAGTTCTCTCCGCCACCATCACTCTATTAAGCGCAAGTTGACTAAAAGCTGACGAGTCCACGAGCGGTGTGTGTTGCGAGTCTCATGTTGTGTGTGCTTGGCATGAACAAGCTCCGTGTACATGCTGATTTAAACTTTCGCCGTATAGCCCAGAACTTTAAAGGCTTTTATACTTGACGCGCTCGCTGTTGTACTATTGGACGAACATTTGTTATGTTAGATCGCCAACAGTGCAGACAAATAACAAAAACGCCAAAGTGCAAAAGGTTGGTGAGTTAAATTATGCTGCTATAGGTAACATTTATTTAGCAATAATTCTCCAGTATCGATAGCAAACCAGTTTACGTCAAAGCTTATCGATACTTCTGTCTTTTATAGTTGGTTACCGGTACCAGTTTTGGTACCCATACCTGCCCACTTTATATTCTAGAAAGGCCTGATTGTGGAGATTACCATTTATGAGTGTTTTGCAATGAAAATTGGTTTCAAGCCTGTGTAATGCTGCATTCACACCAAAAGCAGAAGAAGCGTTAAGCGGCCTCGGTTCAGTCGTAAGCACCTCTGCAAGCTTCCATCATCCAATTTAAGATTCTGGAGCAGTATATGAACTCATGGAGCAGGGTGCACCTCCAAAAGGATCTAGTGGACTCAGACATGGCTTCAAATAAATCAACAGTGTTTTTCAACCTTTATAAAGCACATAAACAGCTACTTTCTCAATAAAATCCATGTTAGCCATTTAGCAATTAAGCCAGAGTCACTGGGCAGACAGAAGTCCTGCCCGTGAAGCGAATCCGCGTTTATTGTAAGGTGGATTTGCGAATGAAGCGAGTAAAATCAAAATGTTCCCACGTATATTTACGTGTGATTAGCACAATTTATCAGAGCATGCCGCATCTGGCGTAAACACAGAGTTAGAAAAATTGCGTAATAGTTATTTGTGAATAACAACACAAGAAATGGAGAAATTGGTCTTACTTGGCGGTGGTTTTCTTAATCCAGTCCTCACATTCAATGCCTCCACAGAAGGGAATCTGTACAATCTGTGACAAAATAACATAAATTAGGCATATTCCTGATTCCTTTGATGGTAAAAGTGTTAAAAGTCTTA